GATATTGCGGGACCGGAAAAAATAATTTGTTCGACTTTATACTAATGTCAGTTAATATCATAAGGATCGGGTCACCTTACCAGATATATGGTGGTCGGCTAAAACCGGAAGTTGACCATTTTTTATCGGATCCTGAAGTGATTCTGAACTAATCCTGATTGACTTACAAAATTTATATTAGGATTTTCTTAAAATGATCCAAATTTGAATTATATCCTTTTTTAAGCATAATCCCCTCCCCCTCCCGCTAAGATATGCATGTAACTAGTGTTGTTAAAATGGCTCTATTTCTAGCCGATTTTTAAAAACGGCTAGCTCAATATTTTAGCCAGAAAAATTTTGCATAAATCTCGAGATTAGGCTAATAGATGTCCAAGAAGGAAGGAAAGAAGGAAGGACCTTTGTGCCATCTATGGTCAAAATCTTCAGGCTTGCTTGACATTTTTCTGGTTAAAATATTGAATTAAATTGTTTTTAAAAAATCGCTTCAAAATCGAACCTTCTGGGAATTTATTAATGAAAATGAGAAAACTAAATTTTGATAAATATTTCTTAAAATTTATTTGTAAATTGGTATTTGGAATACGAAATAATAATTAATAAAAATTAAAAGGTGATAAGATAAAAACTATGTATTTTTTTTTGTCAAACAAATTTAATTTATTTTTTGAAACTTAAATTTATTTTTAACCTTTTAATTTTATTGCTTTATTTGTATTTTTAAATTAACAAAAATTCTTTCTTTTTTACCTTTTCAAATATATTTCTTTAAAAAAAACAACTTTATTTCATAAAGTTTGCCATAAATAACATCATTTTCTCTAATTAAATATCTCGCTTCTTATGAAAATTCAATTCCTTTTCTCTATATTTCTTTTTCTTAATTTTAAACAAACAAAAAAAAATTTAGATATAACCTTAAGAATATATTCGATTCCGATATAAATTTACTTTAAAAAATTGCAAAATCAAAAAAATTTATCACTTAAAAAAACAAATTAATTTACATAAAAAGTTTACATTATATAATCAGTGTTGTTAAAAGTTACTTTTAAAAGTAGCGCTTACTTTTTACGCTACTTTGGATTTTTTTTTTACATATCTTCCCTATTCCACAAATAAAAAAAATATATTACTAAAATTTTAAAATATATATAATTTATTTATTTTATTGTATTTCAAATAAATAATAACATTTCCATACTATCATCCCTACTAAGTCCTAGAGCGACTATCAGGAAGTTTAAGCTATGACTATAGTGTTGTTAGACGGCTTGTAGTGATGTTAAACGGCTCGTTTTGAGACGATTTTTAAAAACGGCTAACTCAATATTTTAGCCATAAAAAATATTGCCTAAGCCTCGAGATTTCGCTAATAGATGTCCAAACCTTTGTTCCTTCTGCAAACAAAATCTTCAGACTTGCGTAATACTATTCTGGATGAAGTATTGAGTTAGCCGTTTTTAAAAATCGGCTCAAAACGAGCCATTTAACAACACTAACAGCTTGGTTTGAGTCAATTTTTAAATACCCTGACAATTTTTTTTTAAAAGATATAGATTCGATTTATTTTAATAAATTTTGATTTTAAAAAAAACCAATAGATAAAAACTTCCTTACATTTTTTTTTAAAAAAAATAATTTTAATTTAAGGGCGTAATTTAGAATCTTGCAAAAAAAAATATTCAAAAAATAAAAATAAAAAAGATTAAAAATCATTTTTCGTTCATTCACTAATTCGATTACATTAATAGGTTAAGGTTTAAAACGACCACGGGTGGGGCTACGATGAGCCAATGGATAAGTGGCAACCATTTTTTAAAAAAATAAATAAATAAATAATGTTAGACTAAAATATCTTATATATCTATATTTTTGTGGGATCTATAAATTAACATTATTTGATCGAATAATTTTTATTCTCTCTATCTCTAGGCATGCAGGAAATCCAAATAGAAATTGTTTGAATAAAAACTAATTACTTGGTGGTTAATGTTGGTTTACACAAAATTATAATATATATATATATATATTATACTATCTTATCTCAAGTCAAATTAAAATTTAAATAATTATCCCCATTTCGCTATTCTTAGTTGATGAGGCAACGTATTTTGAAATATTTTTTGTTATCATTCACTTCTTCTATTAAAATATCGAATTTCGTTATCTAGATCTATAATCTATAACTCTTTATATTTAAAAATCATTTTTTTTTTATTTTTTTTATTTAAAAAAACATAAACTATTTTCTATTTATACATAATTATTTTTTGTTGATTCACTTAATAAACTCAATTAGGTTTCGTTGCGTTCACGAGAAAGAAAAAAGAATGAAAGAAAAGAAAGAATGAAAGAATAGAAAGAATGAAAGAATAGAAAGAATGAAAGAGAAAGAATGAAAGAAAGAAAGAATGAAAGAAAGAAAGAATGAAAGAAAGAAAGAATGAAAGAAAGAAAGAATGAAAGAAAAGAAGAAGAAAAAAGAACGCGTTTTATTTTAAATTCCTGATCACTTGCTTAAAAAGACGTTATAAAGATAATAATTTATCTTAAATATTCTTATATAAATATTTTTTATAAGATATCTCTAGCGCGGTCCGATTAGAATCAATTGGATTACCCTAAAATCAATCTTTAAAATCCGGGTTGAATCATAAAACCCGGCCCGGACCCGCTAAATATCTAAATTTTTTTCAACGACTTTATCTATTCCTTCTTTCAAACTCTTGCTATTCCATTTTAGGATTGCCATTCTCTTCCGTTCCATTTCCGGCTATTCTAGCCTTCGACAATTCTTAAAAAAATAATAAATAACCAACCCGTGTGTGGGGGGGGGGTGAACTTAATTAATGTTAGTCAGAGATAAATGAACTGGATATTTTTCTCTTGGTTTAATTTGACTAAAAATTTTGGAAAATCAGAATTATTATTTTAAAAAAAGAAGTAGAAGAAAATGGGTCACTCATAAATTGTCAAGTTTTAAAAATCATGATTTCATATCTTTTCTTTTATATTTATATAATCAACTTTTCCAAAAGATTTTTCTATTAAAAATGGAAATGAACTTCTCTTGCTTTTCCTCTTATTAAAAAACACATTGCATTCATTTTTACAATGTATAATATATGTAAAACATTTCATTTTTTTAATATCGATTATTATAAATAAATTTGTAAATTAAAAATTATATTTAATATTAACATAAGTGCAACACTTATTTAAAATGCCATATTTATATAACACATAAATTATTATTAATATATAGTGTATATAAAATATAATGTGTTTTTTAAACTTTAAATTTAATTTATTTTATATATGATAAAAAAAAAATATCCCTAATATGAAGAGACATGATTTACTATTTAAAATCGATCATGAGAATTGAACGAAACTGTTTTCAAATGGATCTGATTGATTTTTTTTCAGAATGCCTCAAACAAACAAGATTTTTGGATCAAATTTTTTATCAATTGATTAAAATCACAATTTTTTTTGATCATCTTTCTTAATATGAATCTTCAATTATAATGATCTTCAAATAGTGTTGTTTTTATAAATGGCCCGATTAAAATTTTAGCCAAAATAATATTTATGTAATCCTGGTGATTTTTGCCCCTTAGGTGGCAGAGAAAATTTTGGGTAAAACAAATCTTTGATATATTTTTTTTTATCACACTCTGTTTAGTTCAATATTATGAGGTCTTTAATACGCAATCCTAACATTTATTCTTGTCGCTCAAAATCTTGTGGAGAAATCTTTGAAGAGACCATATCAAATGATTTTAGTCGTGAAAGATTTTATATATGTCAGCGTCAATCATATTTTGAGCGCCTAATCTATACATCTGATTTTTATCAGAAATATATTCTGTCATGTTTGGAATACCTATCTTATGAACTGTAGACAATTTTTGCTGGTAAACCTTTGGGTCATTTATAACTTATATAGAAAAAAAATATATGGAAAATTTACCATAATTTACAGAGTTGTTAAAAGATACTTTTTAAATGGATCTAGATACAGATACAACGTCTAAAATAATATCTAGATACAGATTATTTAATCAAAAATCTATCTAGATACAGATACCACTATATTAAGTTTAAAAGTTCATGAAAAAATTCTCTGAAATTCAGAGGGTATGTTATTCCAGGGCATACATTTCCGGTAAAATCAGATTTTTAAATTTAAAAAAAAAACGCGCTCTAAATACGATAAAACATTGCCGGAAAAAAACACATTGATGCTAGCTAACATATGTAAAGATCCATTAAAAAAAAATTTGAATATATGAGCGAAATAGACACCTAAAACCAGCTTCATAATTTTTTTAGTTGAAGTTTGTGATCTGCATCGGGCCTAATTTTTCAAGCCCGACTCGGCCAGAAATTTATTTGATAAAGTTTTACCCGGCCCGGCCCGAATTTATTTAAATATGGAAATTTATTAATTACTCAAAATAAACGATATTTGTTATTTGGCGTCTTACTTTCTATAAATATAAAATCACATATTTTTATTTACATATAAAATTCAACATTAAAATTGATAAATTTAGATATATTTTAAAAAATTTCTAAGGCCCGACCCCATCCGGCGATCTCTAGTTGAAGTCATCATTTAAATATATTTAATAAATTGATATATTAAAAAATTCCAAATATAAATAAACCGAAAACATAATAAAATTATATCAAAAAATTTTGAGCTTATATACACAAATTATTGTTTTAAAATTATTCCTTATTTTCTTATAGGAATTATTTTTAACTTTTATACATCACCAACATAAATTAATATTTGGAAAATTAAAAAAAATAATTTTTTATAAAATACAAAATAAATGAATTGTAATTAATCGAATTTATAAATCGGTTATCCCACACGCGACACTTGTATTAAATTTTAAAAATCAAATTAAAAAAATATATTAAAATATGGAATTTGACAAATATTAACCCAGTTTTAATAATATTTTTTTTTTCTATTCCAGTAGTTACGGAGGATAATCATGAAGTGTGGAGGACCAAGATCGCCCAGAATAACCTAATTCTGTCACAAATCGAGCTGACGGGTGATCAGATAGACCATCTTCACGAAGACATTCTGAATCTCGAGAAAAAGGTTTAATGTTCCTCTTTTTTTTAAAAAAAAATAAAAGATATCTTATTAATTGTCGATAAATAAATTTCTCCCCCTTTTAAACCTAACAAAATGGCGTAGCCGAAAAACTATAGACACTCAGCCTAGAGGAATAAAAATGATCTGTTATCACAAATGACAAGGGAAAAAATATAATGTCACTAAAATTCGGCCAAGGTGCGAGATACTATTTTTTATTCAATATTGGAATGATACTTTTTTTTAAAAAAAAACAACTTTATTTAAGGGGTTAATCTGCGCGTGCGCTGTTCTATTTCGATATTAAGAGACGGTAGTATAATAATTACCATTATATAATACAACTTTTAGATTTAAAAAAAAACTCATGTTTTTGAGTTAAATTAAATTTATATTTTAAATTTTAAAAAGTTTAATTTAAATTATAAATTATAAATAAATATAAGTAGAAATTATGATGAAAAGTATATTATATAAAATACATAATAACTTAAAGTATCTTTAACTTTTAAATATATAAAGTATAATATTTTTAATTATTCCTCATAAAAAAAATATATATACATAATTAATTAAGAAAAAAACATAAGAGAAAGTTCATAATAAAATTATTTTATTTTGGGAAACTAGTTCAATTTATTTTTTTTCTTCTTCTTATCCTTTCTTCAACTTCTTTTAGCGGAACATGTTCAAAAGAATATTTCTTAGAAACTTGCAAAAGGATCTAAGAACATTTTCTCTCTTGATTTAGAATCCCCCCCCCTCCCCTACTCCACCGAAATTTTTTGATGATCCTTAAAATTTCGTATATATATATATATGACCTGTCAACTACCTGCTATTTTTTTATATTTTTACTTGATATCTTTTTTCCAATTTAAAAAGAAATATTTAATTTTTATATATATACACCTCTGAAATAAAACGACATTTCAAAAATTATTATATTATATAACATCGAAAATGTAAAGCGAGAAATGCAAGAATAAACAATGTTACCTTTTTTTAAAAAAAGCAGTTATTCAGGTGTCGAAATTTGTCGCGAAATGACCCAATTACTACTTTTTTTTAAAATTTGACAAAAAAATGAATTAAATTTATATATTGGAACTGGAGTGAGTGACGTTTCTTCTCGAAATATAAATTTTCCGGATTTATGTGACAGCCTTTACCTTTTAATTAAGTATAAATTTTTTTTTTTATTTTTTAAGAAAGAAAAAAACATTAATTACTCACTCATTTAAGTATCAATGAATAATAACTTTCTTTCTTTTCTTTTCTTTCTTTTTTTCTTTCTTTCTTTCTTTCTTTCTTTCTTTCTTTCTTTCTTTCTTTCTTTCTTTCTTTCTTTCTTTCTTTCTTTCTTTCTTTCTTTCTTTCTTTCTTTCTTTCTTTCTTTCTTTCTTTCTTTCTTTCTTTCTTTCTTTCTTTCTTTCTTTCTTTCTTTCTTTCTTTCTTTCTTTCTTTCTTTCTTTCTTTCTTTCTTTCTTTCTTTCTTTCTTTCTTTCTTTCTTTCTTTCTTTCTTTCTTTCTTTCTTTCTTTCTTTCTTTCTTTCTTTCTTTCTTTCTTTCTTTCTTTCTTTCTTTCTTTCTTTCTTTCTTTCTTTCTTTCTTTCTTTCTTTCTTTCTTTCTTTCTTTCTTTCTTTCTTTCTTTCTTTCTTTCTTTCTTTCTTTCTTTCTTTCTTTCTTTCTTTCTTTCTTTCTTTCTTTCTTTCTTTCTTTCTTTCTTTCTTTCTTTCTTTCCTTATTTTTCTTTCTTTCTTTTTTTCATTATCTTTCTTTCCTTATCTTTCTTTCTTTCCTTATCTTTCTTTCTTTCCTTATCTTTCTTTCTTTCCTTATCTTTCTTTCTTTCTTTCCTTATTTCTTTCTTTCCTTATTTTTCTTTCTTTCCTTTTCTTTCTTTCCTTATTTTTCTTTCTTTCCTTATTTTTCTTTCTTTCTTTTTTTCATTATCTTTCTTTCCTTATCTTTCTTTCTTTCCTTATCTTTCTTTCTTTCTTTCCTTATTTCTTTCTTTCCTTATTTTTCTTTCTTTCCTTTTCTTTCTTTCCTTTTCTTTCTTTCCTTTTCTTTCTTTCCTTATTTTTCTTTCTTTCTTTTTTTCCTTATCTTTCTTTCCTTATCTTTCTTTCTTTCCTTATCTTTCTTTCTTTCCTTATCTTTCTTTCTTTCCTTATCTTTCTTTCTTTCTTTCCTTATCTTTCTTTCTTTCCTTATTCTTTCTTTCTTTCTTTCCTTATTCTTTCTTTCTTTCTTTCTTTCTTTCTTTCTTTCTTTCTTTCTTTCTTTCTTTCTTTCTTTCTTTCTTTCTTTCTTTCCTTATTTTTCTTTCTTTCTTTTTTTCATTATCTTTCTTTCCTTATCTTTCTTTCTTTCCTTATCTTTCTTTCTTTCTTTCCTTATTTCTTTCTTTCCTTATTTTTCTTTCTTTCCTTTTCTTTCTTTCCTTATTTTTCTTTCTTTCCTTATTTTTCTTTCTTTCTTTTTTTCATTATCTTTCTTTCCTTATCTTTCTTTCTTTCCTTATCTTTCTTTCTTTCTTTCCTTATTTCTTTCTTTCCTTATTTTTCTTTCTTTCCTTTTCTTTCTTTCCTTTCCTTTTCTTTCTTTCCTTATTTTTCTTTCTTTCCTTATTTTTCTTTCTTTCTTTTTTTCCTTATCTTTCTTTCCTTATCTTTCTTTCTTTCCTTATCTTTCTTTCTTTCTTTCCTTATCTTTCTTTCTTTCCTTATTCTTTCTTTCTTTCTTTCCTTATTCTTTCTTTCCTTATTCTTTCTTTCCTTATTCTTTCTTTCCTTATTCTTTCTTTCCTTATTCTTTCTTTCTTTCTTTCTTGGAATATTTTTTCTAAAAAAATTACATTTTGTGATCTTCAAATTGATAGTAAGCATAACGTGTGTAAGTTAAACTTTATATTAATTTGTCGAACTATTATAAGATAGATAAATTTGAGTAAAATTCTTAATATATATTTTATCCAATTACTTGGCTCTACCCGGGTTTCTGAAAATGGCCCGGATTATTTAAAAATAAATTCGGCCCAGTTCGGGTTTTATATTTTCGCGACCGAGTACATCTCCTGTTTATTTTAAAAAAAATTATGCCGGGCTTTGGTCCGAGCTTGCAGGTTCATTTTTGTAATTAACGAGAGGAAATGTTAAAATTAGGGACTTCCCAATGACATATGATAATACTTAGGACGATGCATTCATTAAAAGTGTACATCATTGAAAACAGCTGGGGACGCCATTTTGATTGCCCATATCATTATTAAAAATTTTAAACTAGAGGCCAATTTATTTCTTAAGTCTAGAATTGCCTGATCATCGAGACAATAGGGAAGCGAGTTATCAATTTATTAATATTTTTTAACATGAGAATAATTACTACATGGGTTGCCAAAATGGCGGGTCCAGCTGATTTGCTTTCAACGACGCTTTCAAATGCATTATTATAAATGCATCGTCAGTCTAGGTATTATTACATGTCATTGGAACTTCCTCTATATAATTAAATGAATGTATGTTTATTAATTAACTTAATTTATTATTTTTATTTTTTAAAAAAAAATACTTCCCAAAAAATAAATAAAAAAATGAAAGTTAAATGGTTTTGAATTAATTAATTTTTTTGAATATTCACAAAAAAAAAAAACTAAAACAGATGGTCAGCACTTTAGGCCTCAAAATTTTGAATGCTTTATTCCACAAGGAAACAGATATAGCGCAGAATTCTCTACCGATCAATTTGGCTTATCGCCCAGATCCCGTGGACGGACCGTCGATGACAACTCGTGCAGTCAAAGAAAATGACGAACGCGATGACGTCATAAAGAATATCGACTCCGGTAACAATTACGTCTACATACCTAACTGTAGGAATAACAATCTGGTGAGCGAGGAGTTGATAAACCTCCTGGACGCCATGATATTGGATCAGCCCCATTCGGAATCCAATTCATCCTCGAAACAAATGAAAGAAACCCGAATGATTTGCCATGGTTTTTCTAAATTTTTATTTAAAGATTTAATTAGGGATTTCAGCTTGGTATATAACATTTTTATCTCGCAATGTAACGGTCTATGCTTATCAATTTTAATCCATATCACGTGGTAGCTAACACGAAAATGATAAATTAACCTTTCTTTAGCTTACAATCAAGCCATATTATTTTTTTAAAAAATGCTAATAAAGTGATCCTCAAGTCTTAAAACGATACTTAATTTTTGGATGATATTTTTCAAAATACCGTTACTTTTATAATTCTAAACGATATTATACTAGGGTAGTTCTTTCCTGCACTTTTTATTGATAAGTATTTTATTGCGGTGATTTACCCAGTTAATCGTGAACGAACTCTCATTGAATATAAAAAAAATTTATGGTTTGTTTTTAGCTAGCTTGAACCCTTTAATCCCGGTTTCAAAAGACGATTTTCCGCGAATATCTCCATCGATCTTTATAATAATTTTACATTATTTAAAAAAAAAAAATGAATAAAGACGAGGGCATAGAATCCGACACCGTATCCGGGAAAAGTGATAATCCAAAAGAAAATGGCGATTACATAACTCACAAAAAAACGATAAGTAACGATTCCTTTACGACCAGCGAAAAATCTTACAACTCTCTGACAGCCTTGTCCACGTCTTCCGACGAAGAGAGTCATAATCATACCAATGATGGCGATAATAATTTGAAGCAAAAGTTAGTCGGGAATGGAGCTAGTTTAGACCAACGAGAAGTACCAGTTGAGCAAAATGGAGGATTATCTTTAAAAGAACTCTTAAAAGTGAGCCTTTTTTTAAAAAAAAATAACCCCATACCTAATCAATTTGTTAATAAATAACAGTGTTTTTAATGGCTACTCCTTAAAAATACGCGTTATTATCTATTAGCGACTATTTTTAAAATGTAATTTAGCTACTTTAAACAAATACAAAAATGCTTGAATTTTTATTTTATTCTTTATATTAGGCTGTGTTCTAGTTCATCTTTTTTTTAGAAAGAAATGAATGAAAGAAAATAAAAAAGAAAGAAAATACTAGAGTTGAAACTAAACGAAATAATTAAAAGATCTATTTCTTTATATTGCATCATAATAATAAAAATATTATCTATATTAAATATTATTACCCCCTAAGTCTAGAAGCGGCTATTACTGAGTACATCATTTCTCTATTATTTTGAACAACAATTTATAGTTTTCTCATCTTTGGACCGGTTTTTTGCCATAAAATATTTAAAGTTATCAAACAAAAAACGTCTCATTTTTAAAAAAAAGGTTTCCAAAAATCATCACTTAATGTTAATAATACATTAATTTACCACCAATTAAGTGATAAACATTTTTTTTCCCCCCTAGAATCTTTTATGGTAAATACTAGGTTTTTTTTTCCTTTGAGAAGGTGTATGTATTTACAGTGCCTGAAAAATACTCTTTCACTCCGCCATTCATGTTATCTTTATCTCGATGATCCTCAAAATGGGAATAAAGAATTCGCATTTTATCAATAATTGCATGTATCACAAAATTCTGCAGGATTCAAAAGCTATAAGACAAAAAAAAACATTGAAATGAAATTCTAGATTTTTTTTATCGTTTATAAAACGAAAAAATTTATTAATTTTTTAAAACAAAATTAATTTTAAATTTTTTGTTTTGTTTTGAAAATTAGAAATGTACCGACAGAGAGAGATCCATCTACCCGTTTCTAAACGCTAGACAAATCGAAATCAAATACGAGAATGATTGCAAAATGTTAGCCATGGGAACAGATTCAGCTTTAAAAGCCAATGTTTGTTTTTTTTAGAAAAAAATTGGAATATTACTTCATTACTGAGAGTAGTCTTGTTAAATTATCTAAATTTGACCATCTCTATTGTGGCTTAATCAAGCTTTTAGCCCTAAAAAATTGAATTAAGCTTCTAAGTTGAGTTTTCCAATATTTTTGGATAAAAAAATATGGCTATGCTGTTTTATAGTTTGACTAATATGTTAGGTAGTTTAACAACATTAATTGAGAGCTAGAAATAATTTTTTGTTAATTTTTGATCAAATTTTACCTTTTATAAATTGCCCTAAAAAAAATTTTATTTTTGTAATTTTCGTGCATGAAAATTTTTTTTTTCAAGATTTGAAATTGGAAGAAATTTTTTAAATAAATTCTTTTTATACTATTATAAAAAACAAAACAAAAAAAAAACCAGGCATATTCTATCATCAATAAATTGTATATCCGTGTTCATATTTGTTAATAATTTCCTAAGTATTCTCCAAGGACATAAAATAATAATACCTTCTGACAATGCATTCGTTAAAAGTGTACATCAATTAAAAACAGCTGGGGACGCTATTTTTGATTAACTATGTCGTTATTAAAAATTTTAAACGGGAGGCCAATTTATTCCTATGTCTGACACAAACTTTATTAAAGAATTGCCTGATCATCGAGATAATAAGGAAGCTAGTTATCAATTTAATAGTAGTTTTTGACATGAGAATAATTGCTATATTATGGGTTACCAAAATGGCGGGTCCATCTGATATGCATTCAACGACGCATTATGAATGCATCGTCAGTCTAGGTATTATTACATGTCATTGGTATTCTCTTGAATAAACTTTATTTTGTTGAGGTTAGAAATTTTACAGAGGACTTAGTAGTTTAAATAACAATAATTATACAATCTCAAATTATGGTAGATCAACATCTATTTACGATTATAATTAGTTACATCTGTAAATCCGACTGACTAATTTTAACTTGGCTAATCTTTTTTTTCACACAATCAATGGGGCTTTATTTCATAGATACAATACAATTTTTTTTCCCCCCTAATAAATAAATAAATTAGCCGATCGAGAAAATCTTCAGAAGCTCTAACATCGATCTTAAAGATATAACGGATCAAGAGACTAGTATCCCTTTGAAAAAATTTATTCCCCTTGACCTGAATGAAGTTAATAAATTCTTTTCAAATAGTGTTGTTAAATAGCCCGATTCGGATCGGTTTTAAAAAACGGTCCGATTAATATATTAAACAAAATAACATTGTGTAAGCTGGCAGAATTACTCGGACACACGATGCTTGCGTAATATGATTTTAGCTAAAATCTTAATCGTGCCGCTTTGAAAAATAGACCCAAATCAAATCGCTTTTTTTTTTATCAACACTACTTTTAATTTTATTTATTTAAGATACATACATATACATTTTTGAAAGAGTTATTTTAAAAACAACAACTAAGTTAATTTTCGAATACGAACATGTTTCAGTTAAGTTTTATTATAAATGATTTCTTATAATTTTTAAAAAAAAGAAAATCGAATGGGAAAATTTTTTACATAGCGTAAATCTCAGAAAAATTTCTAGTCCCCATAGCTCTAACCAAGAAATGACTCCGAGCCATGATATTACGACCCCATCAAGATACGCAGCCATCCATGATTTCGAGTTGAATAAAACTCTTTACGGAAACATCATGGAGGAACTCAAGTTCAATCTACCGGCATTGAAGAAGTGTCCTCTCACCGATAATGACGTAATAATGTTATAAGATTTTTTTTTTTTAAATTAGGAGGCATATGACCTTCTTAAAATTCTCCATTTTGAGCAGTGATACACCCTGTACCACTTTTTCTTTTTTGGCAATGCTGATTCTGAATAAGCCAATATTGCTGAGTTTAAAACATTTTCCAAAGGTTTATTTATAGTCCTTATTTATTTTTTTGCGGCACTATATCTCTTAAATATTCAATAAAATGCAACGCAATTTGATACATTTAAAACTAATTTTTTTTCCATCATCTTTTGCCCAACCTTTTTAAATGGGTCATGCTTTAGGCTTCTATCTATTTCCAATATTAGTTAACGCGAATTCGCAGATAAATATACAAAAATAGAGCATATTTTGCGTACTTTACCATGAATTCATGCTAACTATGAATGTAGGAGTTAATCCTAAATCTTTTTTTAAAAAGTTATTGATATAAACGATAATTAGCTCCTCAGGGAATTTTCAACTAAAGTAAATTTTTCTTGATTGGATGAAATATATTTAAAATAAAACAAATTTTTTGATTGGATGAAATAAATTTAGAATTAAACAATTTATTTGAAGTAAAGAGTAGGATTAAAGGTTTAAAGATATAAATGTCATTTTAAATAATAACTTGTCCGATATGACAGGTCGTGTAATTATAAAATTTCTGAAAATAAGAGGGGAAAACCTTTTATAATTATTTTTTTAATAAGGCTATGTCCAAAATATATCAAAAAATTCGATTGGCAAACTTTTAAAACTTTATCGAAAAGTAAATTCTAAATAAATTTCAAAAATTTAACATACGATTTCAAGTAAAATTTTAAAACTTCTGAAAGTTTCAAATTTTTTTTAAAAAAAAATAGATTTTGGACAGTTTAAATAAAAATAATAGATATTTTTAAAAGAAAAACTAACAATTTTTACCAAAAAAAATATATTTCAACTAAACCTTCTTATAGAGGGTTTCAATTTTTGAATAATATTGTATCTGGAAAAAAATAAAAATGGTATCGTTGTGCCAGAACCTTTCTTTCTTTCTTTCTTTCTTTCTTTCTTTCTTTCTTTCTTTCTTTCTTTCTTTCTTTCTTTCTTTCTTTCTTTCTTTCTTTCTTTCTTTCTTTGTATTTTTTTTTTAAAAAGTGTTATTTATTATTGTTATTTTTTTTTGTTGTTATAAAGAACAAAAAATTTAGCCATCAAGATGCCCACTCAGTATTGATCGACGAATTAAGAAACACGAGACCACTCTTGACTCCAATCCCGGTAAAAAAAAGTTTCTTTTTCAGTTGTCATTATTTATTTTATACGCTTTGTTAAAGACTATGCCCCAAAAATCATTTTTTAATAAAAAATTTGGAAAGTTTTGAAATTTTTCGAATTTTTAAAATTTGCTAAAGTTTTAAAACATTTCAAATTTTTTCAAAAATGAAATCCATTTTGTTAAATTTTTTTTTTGAATTGTTTTATATTTAATAATAGCTTATTTATTTTATTTTCATTTTAAAGTTTCTAAAGTTTGTGAATTTAATTTTAAAAAAAAATGTTTTTGGGCACAAGCCTAAATTTTTGTAATGTCATAGTGAAAATTTATGCTATATCTTTCCTTGTTCATTTCGTCAGTTTGTGTCACTAATATTCATACCTTAGCCAGGCCCGTACAAACGGAGATAATTAGTCTATTATATGATCTTGTATATTGATTTTAATCTCCTTTTCTTAGGGCCATTTTGCCCTCTGGCCGCCAAGGTATTTAAACGGCCCTGTAAGGTTAATTATTCATAAAATAAATTGCTTCAAAACATATTTGGGGACAATTTTATTTTAATTTTTTTTTAAAGCCATTAAACTTCATTTTATATCGTTAATTTATAAAACTAATAACGGAGCTCTAAATATTGATTATTTATAAAAAAAATTTTATTGCCATAAAGAAATCGAAAGATGACCATCATTCAAATTCCGTTAAAACTAGAAGAGAAGATTTGAATAAACACGAAAAGTTGATGCTCGATATAAGGAGCGGATCCAAACTTAGACCCGTTAAAACGATAGGTATTTATTTCTTAATATTGGAAAGAGCAAATTTATTGTTTTCCTTTTCCAATTTCGGGTCGATATAATAACCAAATTAACGTTATGTAAGGCTAATGATTTTGCTTGTGGCTGGAAGAAATGCTTGGACATCTATTTGCCTCGATGCTCACATAATATTATTTTAGCTTAAATCCCAAATCGGACTTTTTAACAACACTACCTTTATACTTATAAAATTGACCACCCCCCTCCCCCCATATCGATTTTTTTAAAAATGAGCTAATTCAATATTTTACCACCCAAAAAAACAAATATTACGCGCATTTAATATTTTGCTTTAGATGGCACAAGTTTGGACAATTCTATCAGTGAAATCTCGAGGCTTAGGCAATATTTTTCTCCCTAAAATATAAAATATTGGGTTATCCGTTTAACATCATTATACCCTTGGTTTAGAATACAATCGCGATAATTCGTATAGGTAATATAGAACATTTTATCACTTAAAATTTGGAATATTATTAGGCATAGGGATGCAAAAAAACATATAAGCACAATAAAATTGTTTTTTTTTTAAGAATGAAGGAGGAAAAAAACGAAACAAGCTTAAATATCATTTTAACGTAAAAATTCATCTTTCTTCTTGAGGGAAAAGGAGTATTCTTGGCCTTTATGGTGTTGGTGTACCCAATCCTCTTAATCTATAAAAATTTCAGTATCTGAAAGCCTTTAAAAGTATAAATAAAAGGTTATGGGGAGTAAAATATAGTAAATAATGCATAATAGTGTCTTCTTATAATAATAATATGTAAAAGAGGATTCGTTATGAGTATTGTTTATTGGTTTAGTTTTTTCATAAGGCCATGTCCAGTATCCTTTCATTGCTTATCTTTAAATTTGTCCATATATTATTGATGATGTCAAGATTAGTGACAAACTAAGATCAACAGGAGCATATTGGAAATAGTTTTACAGGGCGCATAGGGCAACTACCACTTTCCGTAAATTATAATTTAAGATGATTGTAATAATTTTAAAAAAAATTGCAATAAAATGGTGATAAATTATACTTTCTATATGGATGAAAGAATAACGTTTATTTTTTATTCCCCCCGAAAGAAACAATTATTTTTATCATCCCTTATTATGAAATATTAATAAATTATATTGTATTATAAAAGGTTTCCCCCTATCAAACCATACTTATATTCAGTGTTGTTTAATGGCACGTTTTGAGCCAATTTTTAAAAGCGGCTAACTCAATATTTTAGCTAAAATAAATATTGCCTCAGGGTCAAGATTTCGCTGATATATGTCTAGACCTTTGTGCCATCTATGAGCAAAATATTCAGGCTTGAGTATATATTTTTCTGAATAAGCCGTTTTTAAATATCGACTTAAAGCCTTCTTTCTTCCTTAACAACACTATTTATATTATATATATGTTTTTGTTCACATTTATAGATAAGACGATGCCAAAAATAGTTATAGATAAAGTTTTTAGCAATGTTTCCGATGAGTTCGGAGGTTATATGACATCAAATAGTTTTGACGGGGATTCAATGTATCAAACTATTTCCCTAAATATCGAAGTAAATTTTTTTTTTACTCTTTGCCGTTCCATATATTTATTTATTATTGTATTTAATATAAAATATAAATTAATATACTATGTTTCAGCTTAAAATGACATTTGCAAAAAAAAGACAAATTTTTGAAGGTCCATGTCTTGTCATTCCTTGACATTTTGAGAATAATTTGACTCTTAATTTTCAAAAATCTATTACATATAATATATTTCATCTCTTATATAAAAAAAGGATAATGAATATTCGGATGAAACATATTTGGAAACTAAAATTTTGACTCATCAAGGAATTCGAGTAGTTAGGCGGAAAAGTATAGGTTTTTTTTTACAAATTTTATTATTTTTATTTTATAAGTAGTTGGCACTAAAAATTGCTCTAAAATCCCTTCATAATCTTTCTCTAGGGAATCAGAAAGTTAAAAATTAGAGGAGATGTAACTTCCCTTCCCAGGTATGCTATACTCGAACGGAATTGATTTTTAGATATGATACATCAGGACGGGACAGGTCTAGAAGAAAAAGGATTCCGTCTTGTCAGGGAAGTCATATGCGAAGGCAGTCGGAGGGAGGGTTGGAGCTACAAGTAGGGCCGCCATACAAGCTGTTACTGGGGTCCCCAGGGCCGGATAAAGGGGGAAGGTGTCGTGAGTGAGTCATTCGTTGGGAAAAAGAAAGGCGTCAAGACATATTTATTTTTGAAAATAATAATGAGTCTTATATATATATATATTTTTTCGCGTTTATTATAATAATCAAATTTAGTAAAATCATCATGAAAGTGTATTTAGATTTTTTTTGATATTTTATTTTTAGATATAATAATTAAATTTAGCAAAATCATTTTGAAAATGAATTTAAATTTTTTTTTGATATTTTATTTTTAGATATAATAATTAAATTTAGCAAAATCATTTTGAAAATGAATTTAAATTTTTTTTTGATATTTTATTTTTAGATTTTTAAAAATTAGTGCTGATTTGCGCTTCCCTATGAAAGGGAAGCGAAATTGTAAATTTATTTATTAATATAATTTTTTTTTAAATTCAAATTTTTTTGGTGTTTACGAGATTATAATTCGCTCTAAATTTTATAATAATTTTGTGTTAAATAATATTTGAAGATCTGAATAATAAAATTGAAATTAGTATAATTTTGTGTTAAATCCGATTTGAGAAGATATCAATAGAACTAAAAGTAATATAAGGAAGCGGGCAACGTGATAGTTCATGTCCATTCTTCTATCTTCACCTCCTTTCCCATCTTCAAATCTTCATTACTTGCCCATCCATGCAACATCTCCTGCATAGGCAACCACGTTACTCTACCATATCTATCTTCTTCCCCATTATGTCCCTCAATCAACAGCGTCTATCCACGTATCCTAATGCTCCTGTTCCGGCGCTCCCTCCTTCCTAAGTATAGACTTCCCCAACCAAATTAGCAACACTATCACTGCGCCCAGTATATTATACTGTACTTTCACATATTTCGTTATTTTAAAATTCTTCATTTATAATTTTCCAAATATTTAATTTAAAAAATAAAATTTCTTTAAAAATTTTATATCTCAATAATATAATATACTACTAAATAAATTTAAAAATATTGTAAGATATTTATAAAAAAATTTATAATTAACTTGACCAAGAATATTTTCACCACTTGCAACGTCAAACAGTAGGAAGTAATTAATAGAATCAGCACGGGTATGATGCAACAATACATAACATTGTCAGCAATTCTTTATTACGTCCCCGGTCACTCTTCCTCACTACTTCTCTTGTCGGTCTCTTTTTTTTACTACCCCTTCCAATAACCACAGTGCTCTTCTCTCTTTACTTTAGGTTTCTTTTTCTACTACAATTCCTAGTAACCACAGTCCTCCTCTCTCTTTGTTTTCGGTTTGGTCACGGCACCAACTATCACGTTGTCCGCTTCCTTATATTACTTTTAGTTCTATTGATATCTTCCCAAATCGGATTTAACACAAAATTATACTAATTTCAATTTTATTCAGATCTTCAAACATTATTTAACACAAAATTATTATAAAATTTAAAGCGAATTATAATTTTGTAAACACCAAAAAAAATTTGAATTTAAAAAAAAAATAATTAATAATATAAATTTACAATTTTTTGCTTCCCTTTTATAGGGAAGCGCAAATCAGCACTAATTTTTAAAAATCTAAAAATAAAATATCAAAAAAAAATTTTAATTTATTTTCATGATAATTTTGCTAAATTTAATTATTATATCTAAAAATAAAATGTCAAAAAAAATCTAAATTCACTTTCATGATGATTTTACTAAATTTGATTATTATAATAAACGCGAAGATATATATATATAAGACTCATTATTATTTTCAAAAATAAATATGTCTTGACGCTTTTCTTTTCCCCAACGTATGACTCACTCACGACACCGACGAGACCTTCTAATCCATTTTTTATATTAAATAATAGGATAAATTAGAAATACCAAAACAAATTAGAATTTTTTTTTCGAGACAGCTAAAATGCGTGTCTATCAAATATATTGAATCAGAATAACTGTAATGTTTTATTTATAATATAACAATTTATAACAAATTTTTTGAAATAAAAATCATTAGCAACAAACAACCCGCGTTTTAGTCAACAGTTCAACAGGAGATCATCTTTATTCGTTTATCAAAGAGATAAGTTTTCCGGCAATTCCTCTTCATCCCCTTATCAAATTCGAAACATCGCTAACGCTAACACGAATACCGCTGACATATATAACGATTTAAATATCGACAAAAACCCGGACATTTTTCTACGCATGAACACTCGCCTCAATCCGGACATGTTGTCCGTTCAGAGGAGTACAAGTCTAAGATATAATAAAAATTCGGCCGTCCGTTACGATAACGCTACTGTCGGCGACATTAACGGAATCCAAAATGGTCATTCCGATATTAAAAGGGTTTATTTTTAGCAAATTTTATAGAATTCAGGGGTAAACCAGATTTGGGATCAGTAATTTTTAACTCTTTTTTTGTAATTTTGTTAACGCAAACTTAATAGGAACCGATTTTTCAAAATGGGCCCTAATCCAACCCGAGGCCTAAAATATATCTAATTTAAGTGGTTCTCCAGAAATCAGTTTCTGATTGGTCCGTGTTCGCATATTCATGCTAAGCGATTTCACCTAATGATTTGATATTTATTATTCGACCAAATTAGGGTCTTACGTATCGATTGCATCATTGAAATCTCAAGGACTGGGGAGGGGGGGTGGTACCTTTTTAGTCTACATATATAATAAGCCTGCATTTTAAAATTTAGTCACATGGTAGGGGGTTACCTAGAGAACTATGGTCCTAAACGATTTCAAAATATAAAAACAAAATTTAATTATTTAGATACGAGATTATAAATATATTTATTTATTCTTTTTTCAATCATTATTTCGTTACATTCTTTCTTAATTATTATTTTATTTTTTTTTAAATATAAATTGGATAGATGATCTATAAAAATAAGAACACCGAATGGAATCGTCCGAGTTTTAATGGCGCCAAGAGTCGAAGTAACACGATACACCTAAATTTTCCCGAATTTTGTCACATCAGGAAAGCCCTATATTCCGCACGCCTCGAATCTCATTTCACTTCCGACCCTAAACTATACAGAAATCTCAAACTTAAAAAGGTTTTACATTTCTAGAGGAGAAAAAAAAACTATTTTTCTTTAAAAAAATTTGTACGGAAATGATTTTGTAGTATGTGTTATTTGTCAAAAGGTTTTGGCAGAATTCAGAGCTATATTTCTTTTGACCTCCTATTTTTTTTTAAAGTAAATTGTAACTTTAGATTGTCTTTAGCGCAATTATTTTTTGTCGGGATCCTATTCCAGAATTTATAGAATACCTATTTCCCTTGATTTTTTAGTGTATTTTTTTTGTTTATTTCGCTTTCAAATAAAGCTTAGTTCAAAAATTCGCGGCATAATTTTCTTAAGTTCTCAGGATAGGTTATTAGATACGTGATGTTAAAAAGCGCGCATTCATAAAAAATTTGCTAAAAACTCTACTTTGATGGATAGTAAACATGCGCACCAATCTATAAATTCTCCCAACTTTTAATTTTAAAACTATATATATATATAATATCTCTTCCCGCCATTAATTAGGTATGCCATGATTGTAAAAAGGCCTTATGGTCCATCTTTGGTCAACAAGGAGTAGTATGTTCGATCTGTACAAAGATTCTATGCACTCGTTGTTATGAAAAGGTTTACGATTAACAATGTTGCTTAATTATAATTTTAAATATCAGTTTTTCGATTACAAAAAGGATTTACTTAAGGCGTTGAGGTTATTAATAAAAGTCTTATTTATATATTGGATTGTTATAACACGTGTTTATTGTGGGACTTGCCAGATATTATATATATATGTATGTAGAAATAAAACTATTATCTCTAGTAAAAAGCAGAAATACTTAATTTTATAATCAAGGTCGAATAATAATTAAATTTATTTTATAATAAAACATATATTAACCCCCCAATCGCATTTCTAAAAAAAACATGATCTAAAAATATATTACAATATGGAACCTTTAAAACACCCACCCTTAACAGGCCAAGATCATGCAGAGTGTGGTTATGATATATACCATTTTGCGTAAAATTTTAATGATTATTGGTTAACTGTATATGTGACCTTTCATTCCAGGAGTAGGAGAGTCTCCCATAATGTATCACTCCTGGCTGCTACCTGATTCCGCATTTCTTGATTTCCGCCAGTCTCTGCTTCCTTGGCATCAACATTAATCGATTCTCTGGAAGCCGAGCGGGGATTCTGTCCCAGCGACACTGGCAGATCCGAATTTATCGGTTATCTTGCAATAAAAGAAACGATGCGCATTTATCTGCATAACTAAATACAACCTCGGTTGATCCTGCCGGTTCGCTGCTTCACGATTGACATCCGTAAGTCCCTAATCGTGCGATGGCATGGAGTACGGCATATTCGGCTCGTATACTATGTCCCGACTACAGCTAAAAATCACATGATTGTGTGAGGGTATTGAGTATAACATACTTTGTTTGTGCGCACCCTTCTTGATTATACCGGCCATGCATGGACACTGATCATTACAATGTTATTACATACTCTAACTATATAATATTATGCACCCACGAATACTCACATTCATTATCCCTGAAGCTTGTGTCTTTCTCTTTTATGTCCAAAGAACCTTCCACAACATTAACAATTGACGATCCCACTTTTGTTCAGGTCAAAAATTCCCCATCTGGAATTCAAATTTTCTTTACAACGAAAATAAAAATTTTTTAATCTAGCCGGCATTTTTTTCTCGATGTCAAAATTCTACATAGTATATTTATATTCTCCTACTTGATTTAAAGCCCCGGGTTCTTGAAACCATTTCTTCGGCCCGGCATTTGAAAATTTTTCAATAAGAATTACCCGACCCATAAATTGAAGAATAAATCATAAATCAATTTTTTTTTAAAAAAATATAAATTCTGACATCGGCATTAGTCTAATAAAATAATGGATTGCATTTCAAAAATTAAAATAAAACTGTAATATTGACCCAGCTATTTGTTAGGTCTTTTTGATTACCAACTCTAATTTCGGAGGTTAAACCTCTGTATTAACAATTCAGTATTCAACATTAGTGTTTTTGAAAAAACCTTATGAAATTATTCCAAATAAATTAAGTTTCTGAAATTTCAAAACAATTATAAATAAGTTGCATTTTTTGTTTTGTTTTTGATTTAGATATTTTTCATAGTGTTGAAAAACGGCTATCTCAATATTTTAACCAGAAAAATGCCTAAGCCCGACATTTCGATAATATAAGTCTAAACCTTTGTTCCTATCATAAGTAAAATCTTCAGGCTTGACTAATATTTTCTTGGATGAAATATTGAGTTAGCCGTTTTTAAAAATCGGCTTAAAAACGAGCCGTTTAAACAATACTAATTTTTGACTTATTAAAAAAAAATTTTTTTTTCAAAGATCATGATAACGGCGTTACATCTTAGCAACATATCTACAAAATCGCTCACACCTAGCGAATTAAAGGATGAAAAGGTGCAAAAATGTCAAAATTTTTTCAAAACCAATTACGAAATTCCGGAAAATAATTATAGGTTTATTATTTAACATTTAAAAAATTTAATTTATATACATGTAGAATATTGTATATATATATTTGATTTGAATTAAGCTCTTATTTATTATACATTTTTTTTAAACATTTTAAATATTACCCCCCTCCCTCCTCCCTTATATTTTTATTTTCTAAATTATATGGCTCGCTAAATTTATTAAGATGGACACCAAATTTAAATTATTATGAAATATTATTCTTAGTTTATTTTTAAAGATATTTATTATGCAGCAAAGCCAAATTTTAATATCATCTTTAATGCTTTTGTATTTAAGGTATAAATTCTATCTATTTCTCATCCTTTCATTTATATTTATACAATTTTCAAATTTCTTTGTTTACTTTTAATGATTATTATTTCTCTCATTATGATTAATAGATGTGAATAATATAGTAAATAGTTCCACTAGGAATACCTATAAATAATTTTAAATATATTCAAATAATTTGATCTGATAATGGTAGTAGCTATATTAGTCCTATTAAATTTTTAATCGGATAATTTTCTTATTCATTGTCATAAAATACGAATCGAATAAGGAATATATTTTTAATTTTAAGATGTTATTAATATTATGATAAAAATTTTTAATAAATTATATATTGGAGAGAGAAAAAATTTGTTCATCGATTTCGTTTCGATACCAAAAAATTAATATCATTAATTCAATAATCTTATTTATTACTCCTTTTTGAATATATAGTGTTTCTTTGATAAGGAAATATTTATTCTCACATATTATAACTATATTTAATAGCGTACTCAACACGCCCAATATGCTTAAAAATCACAATTCCGTTGACAAACCCTATAATAAAGATACTACTGAAAATGTAAAAGATGCTTCTCCTAGCGTTTTTTTGGAGTCTCACGTCAAAGAAAATCGCGTGCCATCCTTCAATTCCTCTTTCAATTCGGCCGACAGTTCTTCTTCCAATAACTATTCGTCAGCATCATGTATTTCGAATGCGGATAAATCCACGATTATCCAGAAAAAGTAAATATATACTAATTCTATCGAATTAACCAATCTCTATCGCATATTGTGATATTAATTAAATTATTGTCATTTTATAAAATTGTATTATTACATTCGCAGAAGTCCTTGTTCGAATCATAAGTTAAATATTACCGAAGATGATATATTTATTCCGCTCAATCCTATAATGGTTTGTGAAGAATGTATGATTATTTTAAGAAGATCTTATTTGTTAACGAAATTAGCTAAAAAATGAAATCACACCCTTTACCCATCTTATTTATAAACGCTAAATTATAATATAATGAATTACTAAATATTTGAAAGTTATAATTTGTATCTATATTTTTTTTTACTAAACACACGTTTTTCATTTTTTCTTTACAAGTCGGGTTTTATAAGAAGCCATTATTGTACAAATTTTATACTTATAATGACGGAGAAAAATTTAAAGTTAAAGACGGCATAATATATTTATATATATATTTAAAAATATATAATTATAGTTTCATATCGAAGTTATGCTGAAGTTCATAAATTATATGGCAAATTATTTAAATCGTTTGGCAATTGTTAATCTGGTGAAACAATAACTTGTATAAATGACTAGATTGAAAATAAATAAAGTTTTTTATTATTTTTTTTCCACCATGTTTATTGTTCTCTTAATAAAAATTTATCAGTAAGAAATGAAAATATTGTACTAGGGAGATTTCAATGTCGTAATTAGTATTTACGTTAAAAAAAACTATATAATTATAAGGTAAAAATAATAAATTCATGAGATTTTACATTATTTAAATGAGATTTTACATTATTTATATAAGACTTTACATTGTTTATATGGAATTTAATATAATTTAAATGAGATTTTACATAATTTAAATAGAATTTGACTAATTTAAGTTATTCCATTATATTATATTAAGACTAATGACTATAAAATATTGACAATTTAGAATAAACAAATTCAAATATAATTTAATTATAAAATATTAAATAAATATATAATGGGCGTATGAATCATTATAAAATAAAAAATGTTTTGAAAATGAACTTCGTAAAAAAAGGCATAAATTTTTTAAGCATTAAAATAATAATAGTGGTTAGAACCAATCATATTAACAAAATGAAAATTTCTAATCTAAGAAAAATAAAATAAGGGCGAATATAATATTGTTTAAAAAAAGTTATTATAGCTACGTAAACCAGTACATTTATTGCGAGTAAGAAAATTAATCCCCCTAATCATCAGCAAAGATCTAATTAATAAAACAAATATAATTAGCCTTAAGAATGACTATCTCGATCCTCTGCATTAAGTAAAAACCTTCACAAGACTTCCCAGAATTTTTCATGATCTGGCCTACGTCTTTCAATTTTCTTTTAGCCTAATCCCCATATATTGTTGAATTGAGCAAATGATTGGTACGAATATGTAATTAGAAGGATTAGCGCTGTATTTGGCGATCTGAAAATTTGGGGCTCTGTTCAGATTTTTTTGTTAAAAGTGGAAGGGGAGATCGTATCCAGACAAGAAAAATCCCATATTAAAAACTTTCCTTGTGTCCATGGAATTCTTGGGATTCCATCAGAACGCATACCATCGGGATCAGAATGCTCCAGCTGACCTAAATGCAAGAGATATGATTTGATTGCACCTCGAGTGTCGGGTTAGCCGACCGGGAATACGATTGCAATGTAAAGGATGCGGCACCATATTGTCATCATCAGTATGCCATTTGCTGCATCTATATGTAATGAGAAAGGAATGTTGAACCTGTTACATATAGCATAAGCTGAGCTCGTGGTTGTCCAATTCAAATGTGAGATTACTAGATGGAGAAACAACTAAAAATTCATATCCCTGATCTTCAATGAATGTGGATCTAGCCAAAGGTGAAAGACTCGAAATTAGGTAATTAACGGTGTTTATCACAAGTAGAGATCCCAATCCTTCTGTTTTACAGAAATCGGAAAATAGGGTTGTGATTGTGACGGATTTTGACCACTCCGTCTAGCTGTATTCACAAAGAGATAAAGGACTAACATATGTCAATTTACGTGCCTATAGGTGGCTAGCGATAAACGCATGAAATCGACAGTGGGGATCTTATACCAAGACCCCATGTTTGGAAAGAAGTCCGGCCTGATGCCAAGCTATGTCTGTAAACTTACTGGGCATAATTCAAGTTTTAAATAAAGGTGAGTTTTATTCTAAAGCATTTTTATTAAATATTAGATGACATAGCCTTAAGAACGCCCTTCTGAACCGATGATTACATTATACCCCTAAAATTTATTTATCCCCATTTTTCCCGCCTTAAATAATCTTTTTTAGCATCAAAATTAGCTATGACATACAGCAAAATTTTTCCTCCTATTCTTCCACCTCTGTTATTTCAATGATAATTTTACGTTATACCTTCTAAATAATAATTCTTCAATATCTATTATAGAAAACATAATTTACTTTAATTAAGAACTTTGAATATTTTGAGGGCCATTTTTGATCTAAAGTGGCTTCATGTCCACGATAAATATTTGTGGCTATTGAGATTCTTTTTCGGCCAAATTTGAAATTTCATACTTGAGACTAGTCCCTGCAGAATTATATGTTTTTATAAAGAAAATACTGTTATCTTGATATATTCTTATAAGCACCAACACTGTTAATTTTTATTGAGCATACCAGCAAATAAAATTCCTCCTGAAAAAAATAACCTTAAAAGAATATATATTTGGGTAATCACGTTTTTTATATTTTACATTAAAAGGAAATAATTAGCTCAATCAAAACATAATTATAATACAGTTTATAACAGCTCTATTAGGAGAATATAAAAAATAATTTAGTACAAAATAGTTAAAAATGTTTCATCTACAAGTTCTGCTCTTGTTCTTGTTTGAATTATACAGAGATTTTTTAAAAAATATTGAAAAGGGGAAAGGATTGTGACTGTGGTGGAATCAAACTATACATATTTCTGATTATAATTTAATTTTTTTTTGAATAAGTAGCGCCGATTTATAAAATTTGTTTCCAATAGTTTAAATGTTGTAAAGTAAAGTTTTACCGACTTTATAAATATTTTTATTTATAAATTTTTTTAAATAAATTGTACCGAATTAATGCCCGATATTTAAGGGCAGCAGACTTAGAAAATGTCGATTTTTGAGGCCGACCAGTAAAAAAAAAATATATATTAATTCTTTTTATAATATAAGTTTTGAATTTTCACTTATATTCATATATTTTATATATTAAAAGTTATCACATTTCCTTTCTTAGCATTTAGAATATCATATTAATATATTTTTTGAGAATTATCATTTAGATATTAATATTTTATGGGTTTTTTTGAAAAAAAATGCTTGCATGAAAGTCAATAGTTAAAATTAGGAATTTAATTTGACATAATAATACAAGACAGCAGCTGATCTTGACGAAAATAATTTACCTGCTGGATAAAGAAGGTTGCTAAGTCTCCAAAAAATGGGCGAAACAAGGTGGTGGGCACACAAAAAAGAGCTTAGTTAGTTATATGATTATGAGAGCTTACTCTCGAAAGGCAAAAACAAGCCTTGTCAGTATCTAAATTTGTAATTGGGAATCTGAGAAAATTTATAACGTTAAATCCACTTTGGTTTCTTTGAAATTATGGGCGGCTCTCATTATATCTCCAAACTAAAGAATTAAATATTTATGAGCTTAGAAAATGATTGAAGATACCAAGTCTTCTAGAGAATTTATAACCTTCACCTCCATTCAAAATAGGGCTATAAAAATTGCTATATTTTAAATAAAAATATTCCTGATTTAAAGCTGGGAGATAATATCTAGATACAACATGAAATGAAACTCGAATAAGTCCAACAAGGGTGTTGTATAGTGATGAGCGCAAAGGTGAACGCTAGAAGATTTGATTAATCTCTATATTTTTAAAGTATTTCATCCTACAATTGATCAAATTATAAATAGTTTAACAACCATAAGATTTTCGGTTGATAACGAATTTGCAATATTTGTATTCATTTTACTGATATAAATATCTAAGGCATTTCTGGCAGAAAGTTTCACAATTATAAAATATATTCAGAAATTACGAGATAAATTGTCTTCTTTGTCCGTATTTACAAAGGTTTGATATTCACGTTAATGAAAATATTTAAAAGATAGTGAGGATAATAAACGATGAAATAATACAAAATAATAGTTACTCCAACCAAGAAAACAATGGGTATGATGAATCTAGATTCTTTGATGAACACAGCCACATGCTATTTAATAGTAGTTTTAATAGCTACCTTTAATATATATAACGGCTGAGTGACCATCGTCTTCAAAAAAAAGCAAAAGTTATGTTATCTTTATTTAGAACATGTAACTGGTGCAAAAAAAATTCTTGGTTACATAATTAAAAATAAGTATAAATGAAAATAGAAAAATAAGATAAAGAATCTTATTAATTCATTTTTTCTAGTAAAAAGCATTATAATAAAAATACGTAAAAGAATTTATTAATATTTTATTGTCCAATTTAATAAAAATCAAAGATTATCAAATTCACGAAATGGGAACTGCCATTGGACTCTCTCTTAATCCGAGCAAATCCGAATTCATCCAATTGAATTCAAACGCTCCAAACATACATAATTTCAAACTCAATGTTATTGATGAATTAACACATTTAGGATCTCCCGTAGGAGGACATAAGGCAATTTGTACCTTCCTTTGTTCTACCCTTGAAATCATCCTTAAACTCGAGGACATCTTTACTCATCTTCCCTCACACAAGTCTTTTTTCTTACTAAAAAATTGCTTTTTCATACCAAGGATTCTTTATGCACTTCGCGCAACACCCATATTTAAATATCCTTCTCCATTAAAAACCTACGAAAACAGAATAAAAGACCTAACCGAAAAAATAATAAATCTAAGATTCAGCGAATCCGCTTAGGTGCAAGCTTCGCTCCCACAAAATCCGGTGGACTTGGCATTATATCTCCTTCTGATCTAGCAATAACCTCTTTCATATCTAGTAATCTCTTGTCAAAGCAAATAACAAACGCCCATCATTCTAAAAATGATCTTTCCTTAATTGAGGCCATAAATACTTGGAAAACTCGAATCAATGTTGATTCTCATCCCCCCACAACCCATAGACAGAAGGACTGGGATGCTCCGGTAGTTGCTCGCTGCGTTGAAACTCTCTTATCTAGCATGCAATTAACTGACCGCACCCTATTCTCTTCCCTGCTCAATGGTACTGGGCAAGAGTTTCTCGAGGCCATTCCTCCTATCATTTTCAACTTCAACTTTAGAACAACGAACTTACCCATGCCATCAGTATTCGTCTAAATTTCTCAATCACCCACCCTCACAGCTGTTCAGGCTGTAACTCGCCCCTCGACACGAATGGAAGACATAATTTACATTGTCGCTCCTGCAATGGTCGATTTATCAGACACAGGCAATGTAATTCAATCATCCAACACGGCTTTATATCAGCACAAATCCCACCCATACTTGTACCTCAGGGTCTTTTCAAATCTGATGGTAAACGACCAGACGGCATCACCTGGAAGGAGAGGCTAATTATTAGAATGGGACTTTTCTTGTATTGACCCCCTTGCCCCATCTAACCAGACACTCAACATCATTTACCTGAAGGAACATCTTAAAACCTCGAAATACACAGAAATTACTAATAACCATTGTTTCTTTCCAATTATTTCAACTACACTTGCCACCTTCACTTACCTTAGCTTTTTTAAAAATTTAAGATCTCAAATCAGCTAACATTTGGAAGATCCTCGAGAGGGGTTTTTTCTTCGATAAAAGCTCGCCATAGCAATCCTTAAAGCCAATTATATCAGCTTCAATAGTAGCCTACTAGCCAAAGAGCTATCCTAAATCCTTTTTTTTACCTCTCATTATACCATCCCCGTTCTTCATTGGTATTTTTAAATTTTTTTATTCATATTCCTTTTGTCGCATTTTAATATAGACTTTATTTATACGTTCATATTCATTATTTTTTATTAAATACATTTGATTTTTAATTAAAATTTATGTGATTTGATTTTGGAATTTCATATATATTTTTTAATCTAGTTTTTTATATACATTACAATATGTGTTTTCTTAATAAAGTATATTATAAATTAATATATAAAAAAAAATCAAACAATAAAAAGATTTAAAAATGAGAAATCCTTTTATTGTTCTATTGAATTCCCTTATTTTCTGTTTACCAATAAAATCAAACGTAACGTTTAGTATATTTTATAAAAAATATAATATATAATAAAAAAAATTAGTAAAAATGTTTTAAAAGTACGAATTTCTTTTAGCTACACAAACAAATATAATGGTTGGAGAAGCTCTTCAGTATATTTTTAATATGGGAGATATATTATGTAACGTAACGCTAATTCTAACTTTCTGCCCAACTCTGTATACCTAGTGTTGTTAAACGGCTCGATTTAAGCCGATTTTTAAAAACGGTTAACTCAATATTTTACTAGAAAAATATTGTCTAAGCCTAGAGATTTTGTTAATAGATGTTCAATACTATTACAAGCGGGGAAACTTGTAATAATTATATGAGAACGGTTTAGAATTTATGATGACAAATCATCTTTTTTTAAAGAATTTCTTTATTAAATAAATTGGATTAGATATTATCTGTTATTATATTTGCATAAAAATATATTTCTCTTCTTATAAAAATAATCTCTTTTTATATGTATAACGTAAATCAATTGTTTCCAATCACGTTATCCAATTATCAACATTTAACATATTATAACAATCTAAATATACCTGACAAAAACATCTAATAAATTAATTTATTATTGAAATATATATATATCTTCTTTTCGCCTTATGGAAATATTAGTCAAAAAGTATATTAAATGTAAATGTAACTGGATAAAAATGATGCGAACTAAATGATAACATCAACAACTTTAAGTACATTATATAAAATAAAATACAACAAATTGATCATGCGAAACATTTAAGTTGTATTATTACAAACTTTTGTGCCATCTATGAGCAAAATCTTAAGGCTTCATAAAATTTTTCCTAATAAAATATTGAGTTAGCACTTTTTTGAAAATCTGCTCAAAATGGGCCGTTTAACAATACTAACAAAGGCATACATTAAACTATTATTGCAGTAACTTGTGGAAGACTATCTACTAAATTTAGAATTGTAAAAAGTCTTCGAAATTTTTATGTATTCTCGTTGAAAAAGAATTCTTGATACAAATAGAACTCGAATATTTGTGCCAAAGTTGAGAGTTAATGCAAGATTTAATAGCTAAAAATTATAAATATATTTGTTTTATATAAAATGCTTTTATTAATTGTGTCTTATAATCAGAGAAATTGGGAAAGCTTCATTAGCCTAAAAGGATATTTTCGAATCAGGTTAACCCTTCTTCCTCTTCCCTACGCTTATGATACAAAAATATAATATAAACGGTGATTGTCAACAATGATTGACATCGTTTTTAATATAGTATCATCTAAATTTTATTTGAAAAAAATAGACGAAATCTTTAAAAATGGTTTTTTCAGGTAGCTTAGATATATGCGATGCAGATAATTCAACAGTTGATTTTAATGAATTTAAAATTGATAAAGTGCTAAATGAAATTTCAAATATAAATCAAATAAATCTCTTAGGCCATTTTAAAAATTTTACATCCCCCACAATTTTAATAATAAAAAAAGCTCCATTCTTATCTGAACAGGTTCTTGAAAATTTTAAATTTAAAACTGAAATCACTGAAAAATGGTCAAATGATATATATGGAAAGTTTTGCATTACATTACCTCCTGAGTACAGCAGTAAAATTTATTCATTTCCTTTAAATATTTAGATATAATAATAGAGGCTTCTGTTCAAATAATTCATCCTGCAACAGAAAATCATATTAAAAAATATTCATCTAGTAACTTTTATCTATTTGAAGAGACAAGTGAAATATATCAAAATTTGACATTACCATATATACTAAAAAATCAAATGGATTTGACAGTAAATTGAGTAGCTTTTATGAAATTTATATAATCGAATAGTGGGTATATAATGTATTGGATGGTAAATCTGAATCAGAAAGTATAGTATATAGAAGTCCTGAAATAGAAAATGGATTTATATTAGCACATGACTACAAGTGGGATGGTCAGGACATTAATAATTTACATTTATTGGCCATTCCTTATATGAAGGGATTAAAATCTATAAGAGATCTGAACCATAGTCATCTATTATTGCTGCAAAATTTTAGAGATTGCATTAATGTATTTAATCAAATAATCATCTTAATTATGTATTTATAGGTAATATCAGAAAAATATAATATACCAAAATGTTCCATTGATGCATATTTTCATTATCCTCCAACTTTTTATCATTTACATGTTCATTTTGTATCAACAGCAATCAGCGAGATTACAAAAGAGGGTGTCTTTTCAAGTCGAAATATTTATCTTCTTGATGTTATACAAAATATCACCATTAAAAGTGATTATTATAAAGATACTTCTATGATTGTATTTTTAAGTGAAGATTCCATTATATATGACCAATTTAAACAATATTATGAAAGTTTAGAAAAATAAAAACCTGTTTCTTTATGAATACAATATTTGTTGTCTAGCATGCTTATTTTGTTAACAAGCATATTATATATAAAAAAATGTGTAATGTGATAATCATTCTAAAAATTTTATATTACATTTATCTCAATTTAAAATTTATTTACAATTCCAATATTTTTATTTTTAGACATTATCTATTTTTGGACCAATGTGATTAAAAGAATTAGTATTTTCTAGTGTTAGCAAGTTGGTCCGAAGGAATATTTGACTTTGTCAAATATGGTAAAAACTCTAAAATCTTATTGGCTAATAAATATATTGATTTAATTAATTAATATTTATTTAAACATGTTTTACAAACTAATAAGATAAAAAATATATGAATCATCATGGCATTGATTTTACAATAATTTTATATTAAAATATAAGATTTTCATGTTAAAATATTAAATTTCATTTTGAAATATAAAAATAAAAGAATTCATTATTAATTTGACTGGATCTTAATATATAAATAAATATAATAAATTTGCTAAAACATGGTTGAAAATAGGAATGACTAAGATATTCAGCTTAATTTAAATTATATTAATATAGAATCGTATTTAGCTTCACAGGCTGAGTTTAAAAAAAATGGTAACATAGTGAAAAAAAATTTACATGACTAAAATACGCGCCCCTCTATTAAAGCAGCTTAATTTATAAAAAAAGGACACAGAATCATATAGAGATTATTAAAAGGTATAAAAAAATGTTAATATTATTTTAAAAAAAAAATTTTTTAACTTAATGGTTGAAAAAACACTTATTCAATTTTTTTGACTTAACTACACACCCTTGGTAAATATATATACATTATTTTTTAAAAATGAATACAGAATCATGTATAACTTTTCAAGGAGATTCCGAAAATGGTATTTATTTATTTTTTTTTAAAAAAATTTTAATTATCGAAAAAAATTTTTTGACTAAACTACGCGCCCCCCTATCAAAGAAGCTTAATTCATAAAAAATTAAAGCATAATCGTATTAAGCTCATTTAAAGGAATCAAAAAATGTTAATATAAAGTTTATAAATTATTTATAACTTATTGAGATTTGGAATATTAATTTCTTCTTTTTTTGACTAAACTACGCGTTCCCGGTAAATATGCATTATTTAAAAAAAAATCAATATAGAATCACGTATAACTTTTGAAGGAGATTCAGAAAATGGTTTTTAATTTTTTTTTATAAAAAATTTTTTTAGATTAAACTTCGCGCCCCCGGTCAAGATACATTATTTTTTAAAAAATGAATACAGAATCATTTTGTGCCAATTTTATTTTAATTCATAATTGCGCGTTTTATTTTTTCCTATAAAAGGGATTAATTTTTATACCTAAAGATACACTTTTAATTTTAGTTTAAAATATAATTTTCGAATAAAGATATAATTTTTTTTAAGGTTGCGAACCCGGCAAAGATGTTCTCGGGGTGCATTTGGTTCAGGGTTCAGTTCAGGTGACATTATTTTGAACCCGGGTTTGTTTCGGTTTATGGATATATTTTTGAACCCGGGGTTCCGGGTTCAGCTCGGGTTTAAGAATTTATTGAATTGATGAAAAAAAAATCTATATTTAAATCATAATTAAAAAACTAGACATAAATATGGTATAAAAAAATTAATATTTTATTTTATTTATAGGCACAATAGAGTTAAAAATACAAAGCAAAGTCGCATATCTTAAAAATTCTATTTAGACGTATTTCTTTAAATTAACAATATCCAATATAATAATTTTTACTTTGACTTGTTCACTTTCATTTTTCCTCTAATTAATAATCTTTGAGAATAAGTTAAAAATTAAAAATAAATAGCGTAAATGAATTTAATTGTTTAAAATTTATTAACACTCCAATAGGAATCTTTGAGAATAAATTTAAAAATGGCGTAAACGAATTAAGTTGTTTAAACTTTATCAACATTTCACTTAATTGGAAATTCGAAAATATTATAAAATCTCAATTAAATTAAAATATATTAATATATGATTTTAACAATACACTGAACCCGGTGTAAACCCGGGTTCAAATAAAATTCCCGGGTTCGGTTTGGGGTTTGAAAATTTTATAAATGGGGTTCAGGTTCGGTTCGGGTTCAGATTTTTTTCCAAAAACTGGGGTTTCTTCTCCGGGTTCTGGTTCGAATCCCTGCTTTTTATATATTAAATTAATTATGATATATACTTTCTTTTGGAAAATAAATTTTGAAGAAAAATATTTAATGTTTATGGGCCATTCCATGTCAAATCGATCAAAAAGGCACATTTTCGGCCGATCCCTTTTAAAATTGTTAAAAATTTCTGGAATTATTTAGATAGGTATATAAATGAGAAAGCCGTTTATTTTAGCTCGCTAGCACACTTGGTTCGCGCGATATAGGGGTCTCAAAAATTATTTATAGTAAAAAAATGTATAATATATCATATTGTAGGTAAAAAAAATCTCTAAAGGGCTATCAAATAAATAATAAAAATTGGCGCCAATTTGAGTCTTTAACTTCCAGTTTACCTATCTTGCTTCACCTGTATTTTTAAGCGAAAAAGGGAGTTTGTTTTCGAAATTTTTTTTTTGATTTTTATTTAGACACCTTTGATAAATATATATTCGATGCCAAGACGTATAAAAACTTTTTATATTTGATTAAGATTAATAAAAAATTTTGTAAAGTTTACGAGTAATTTATTTATAATAAATTAAATGCCACTTATGAGATCCCAGCAAGACGAACCCCCTATTAGTCTGAAGCCCCGCAAATATCATATTTTTATCTAACTCTTTATTTTAAGATAATAAAACTTAATTTTAAAGCGTTACAAATAAAATTGAATTTTATCAGGGAATTTATGTATAAGGTTTATTGAACAACACATCAAAAAATTTATTTCGCAAACCTTCAGAATTTAAAAAGCATAAATAATCTATTCTAAATATAAAAATAAAATTCCAAATTTTCAAGAGTTTTGAAATTTTCCGAATTTTTTTAGAGTGGTTTTGGACACAGCCTAAAATAATCTTTTTTTTTATATAATTATTATACCTACAAATCTTTTTTTGAATATTGATAAAATCCATAATTTTTTAAATAAAACATCACTTAAGTGGTGGCTAATTTGGCGGGGAGGTGAGCGAGGGAGTTTAGGGCCTCTTAATCTTGATAATCCATAAATTTAACATGTTATAATTTCTACCAATTTATAATAGAATAAAACGAAACTGACTAGCGCAATAGTAAATTTTTTACGGGCACTAATTAGTGCTCCATAAAAACTGTATTCCTGGTGGAATAACCTAGAGATCTGCAAAATTAGGCCCGGCCCGTACCCGGACCGAGGTTCGGGCGGGCTTGGGTGGACTCGGGCCTAATATTTTTAAAAAAATTCGGGCCGGGTCGGGTCGGGTCGCACCTTGGAAATTTTTTTAAATATATCTAAATTTATCAATTTTATATTGAATTTTTTATGTAAAATAAAAATTTTATTTATTGAAACTAAACGCCATATAACATATGTCTTTTATTTCGAGTTATTATAAAAATTAATTTCTATATTTAAATAAATTCTGGCCGGGCCGGGCTTGAAAAATTAGGCTCGATGCAGATCACTAGAATAACCTATCACTCACAAAATTACAATAATTGTACATATTGTTTATTTTCTACTAACATAATATAAAACTGTTTCAAATTTACATTAATGAATAAATAATTATATAAACTAAATCTTAATATTTTATTGCCGAAAAATAAAAATTATGGCCTTTATAATTTTCTAAAAAAAAAAAATAATTGGTGGGAGGGAGCGGGTGGAGTAGGCTACATCTACAGGTAATTTACTCTTCGTAAGCACTAATGTATTAAAGGAAAAAGCAATTTTAAAACGTTATTGCTTTACGAAAAGCGTATCCCCTTTAGACGTAGGGTTAAGTTAACACATTTTGAATGTATCGATTGCTGCGCGAATATACGTTGTGGTGAACCGTTTCACACATTTTCCGGATGTACCTGTCATAAATCAAATTTAATATATTCTTAAAAGCTTTTATGTATGCTATTAGAAGGTATCACACAACGAAAGTTATCCCTCCCCAACACACCATCCCTCCCAACTTAGGATTATAAAGGACAAATTGATTTCCCCTACATTTCCTAACATCCTTTTTATCAGGATTTCTTCGAATTGAGTTCAGGGGCCAATGACTTGAACTATTTGCTTAGGGAGTGCTATATATATTTTTTTTAAATTTGCAAATTTCGTTCATATTTCATTTTGCAATCTTTTTCTATATAAAATTGGATTCATTAATAAGCTAGAAATATGTATCAGACCTGAAGAGGTCAAATGTCATTCTCGAGAATTTTTTTTGAGTTTTGTCCTAGTCACCATTCTTATTTCTCATTTTACGAACCGGCCCGAAATTTTTTTAAGGTTCTCCATGTATAATTTTGACTGTAATTTTGCGATTAAATTTAAATGGAAATTGAAAATATGAGTGAGGCCTCATTTATAGTAAACGCTTTTTATTCAAGGGCAGTGGTATTTAACGCTATCGAAATCATTAGCTGATTTTTCACGGCGATAATAATTTTTGAAATATACGTCGTTTCAAATTTTATTCATCTTTTCCCTCCATATTTAGGAATTATACATATTTATTCATTAATTTTGTAAATAACGTCGCGTTTGAATACCTCACCGCTTCAACAAAACGTATTTACTCTAACCATGCATTCACAGTAATCGCGAATTCGCGGCGAAGTATACAAAAAAATACAGCACGTTAACCGCGAATTAGCGTTAACTATGAAGGAAGCGTAAACGAGGCACAAGTAAATGAATATTAAAGACTTCGTTTACATGATTTTCCAACTAATTTAATTTGATGTAATTTTAAAAGCATAAAATTTAAATCGACTATTCTTGGATTTTTAATTTTTTTTTTTTCATACCATTTTTTGACTTTTTATTCATTAAAAAATGCAAATAAAATTGTAAAATATATAAAATTAAATTTGTAATAAGTGAATGTATATTAGGGAAATATTTAGCATAATTTATGTAATATTTGAATTTTTTTTAAAATATACAATTCATTTTCAAAATGTATATAAAGGATACTAAGCACCCCCCCCCCCCCCACCAACAATTTTGCATAATTCAATTTTGGGGTATGAATTCTTCTAGTTACAGCTCTGATTAAACTTATTTAGAATGATTTACACCATACAAATTTAATATGTTAAATAATATACCCCTCTTATAAGGTCTTCTCAAATCAACTGATATTATAAAACATTTGTTTTTAAGAAACCCCCCGAAAGAAACATTTTGATAAATTATAAAATTTACGAGATCCGAATTCAAAAACCGCCTTCCCAATTAGCATGAATTCAAGCCGAATCATAGTGCGCACAAATTGAGCGTTTCAAAAGCTGTGTTGCAAGCACAAATAATGCATTTCAAATGGCCTCGTTCAAAATGGAAAAATTACCGTTTGGGTTAGCAACCATTTTAAAAAATGCAGATATGTTTGCTTTTTCGTTACTTTTTTTTTATTCTTCGCTTTGTAATATTATATAAAAATGTGATATAAATAACTTACTTATATATCCTAAAAAAAGAATATTTGGAAATTAAAGAAATAAAAAGGCAGACGATAATATAATTTTCAAAGACAAATCCTCTTTTTTTAGAACTTATTTAAAATTTTGAATCCACCATATTAGTAAAAAGGCAACTTTAATTTAAACAAGGGGCGTTATTTTTTATTAATTAAAAAATTACGGCAAAACGTAAAAGCTCAATTTGTGTGCACTATTATACAAAAATGAATATGAAATTATTATATGCTATATCATATTTCGCTTATTTCCCCGCAAATTCTCTTCTGAGAGTGAATGAGTGGTTAAACTGTATATCAACAATAAATTAATTTATTACTGAGGAGCCGAGTGTCCGATAATATGAATGCTTGCGAATAGTACTCGATTTTACACACAATTGTAATCGCTTTTTGAATATTAAAAATAAAATAAGATTTACTGAAAACGCTCTCAAATGAAAAACAGCTGTTTCTTTTTTTAGGCGACGTCCAAACTTGATTTATATCGATTTTAATTATGTTTTGAAAAAAAACTTCTTATCGATACTGAGGATTCATTCATTAAAATGCATTTCAAAAATGAATACTAATCAGCTGGTGTGTGATACCCCATTTTAAAAAATTTCCATAAAAATTTTAAATGTAAGTTGTTTAATATTGGAGAGCCAAAGTGACCAACTGATTTATATTGATACACATTTAGATGAATGAATGGGCTAGTCTAGTTATTATTATGTCATTGGTTAGTACAGTCGTATATCAAATTCGTTAGAAGTATTAATATAAAAAATGGCAGTATGGACTTAGAGTTAATATTAACTTACTTGGTATAAATTTTTGGCTTTAGTCCTGCGCAGGTACCATATGGCATAAAATGGGATTAGAAGTATTGAGGAGGCCACCATACTCCAACCAAAGCCGTTCGCCCATTTAGGATAAATGTAATTTCCGTACCTCAATGGTTCGTTCAGAAGAAATCCAGCTGTTATCATTGCCTAAAAAAAAAGTAAAAAAAGATTAGATTTCGACCATAAGCCAGTTTTGGGTCGATTTTTAAAAACTGCCCGATTAAGATTATAACCAAAATAATATTATGTAAGCATGGAGATTTCGCTCATAGCTGGCAGAGAGGTTCCAACATCAATTTACTAAATCTTGAGGCTTGCCATATTATTTTGGGCTAAAATCGGTCTTTTTAACAACACTAATATTTACCATGATTAAAGTGGGACTAATGTATTTCCAACACCATCGCCAGTATATGTTGGGTCTAAACCCGATCATTTCTTCGATATTACTAGAAAATCTGTCAACTCCTTTTATTTTATTTTTTGTAATATAAAAATGTGTAGAAAACGTGAAAAAAAAGCTGAAAATTGTTGGCGGATTACATTTTTTCCATGAGGATTGTAATGGTAATATAAAAAAAAAACTCACCCCCTTTCCCCGAAAAAAATATAGTTATATTTTATCTTTAAAGAATGATGAAGAAATTTTCAAAATTTTAACCATATATAGAGAGTTTTTTTTTTAAAAAGAAAAATGTAACCATATATCCAAGCTACTCCGACGGCTTCGAAGAACACGATGAACAAGAGTGCCGTTCCGGCAGCGTAAGTGTCTAGAAATGTTATCCAGTATATCCCGTCCTAACAACCCCATTTAAAAAAAAATGAAGATATAAATGAAATTTGTCACAAAAAAATTATATGAAATAACTTAGTGTTTGTCAATAATTTCGATTTAAGCTCTTTCTAGAAAAAAAACAAGCTAAATCAAGATTTTAGCCCGAAAAAAAATATATCCTAAACTTCGAGATTTGAATCAAAAGAAGGTCAAAACCTTTCTGGCATCTCTATATGCGAAATCTCGAATCTTTCGCTATAATCGTGATTTAGCTATTTATTATTTTTTTAAAAAAGAGCCTAATATTGAGTTTCGACAGTATCTAGATCCTGTATCTAGATATAAAAATGTGGTATCTGTATCTGTAACTAGATAGTTTTTTGATTAAAATATCTGTATCTAGATATTGTTTTAGACAATGTATCTGTATCTAGATCCATTTAAAAAGTATCTTTTAACAACTCTGCTAAATATATAGGCCTTTAGTAAAAGGCGGACAATATTAATCTCCTTACCCTGCATTCACAGAAAGCGTGAATTCGCGGCGAATTATACAAAAATTGAATGTAAAATTATTAAAAGTGATTTGAATATTTTAGTGTAAAAAAAAAGAAGACGTAAAGTGTAATGTTACTTTAGTAGTACATAAAAGAGCTACACAAAACGAGGTAAATATAACGATCCCTATCAGAACTTTTTTCGATATTCCAAAACTTTTCAGTGTTGGTCCTAGATCATCCAATAATCCCGTTATAACGGCTTCCATTCCTCCCAGCTATAAGATTTTTTTTTAAAAAAAAGAAGCTATAAGTGGTCATCCTAAGCTTTTTAGTTCTGTTAAAATATAGAGGAGTTTCGATTTTATTTTTAAACAGCTGATGTTTAAAAAAATAAAAATAATCTTCACTACCGCTTTAGCGTTTAAAAAAGCAATAACTTTCCATTATTCAGCGTCGAGGAAAGCTACCAAGTAGATCCGTGATCTCTGAGAGTAGTTTTTAAATTTAAAAAAATCTGATTTGACCGGAAGTGTATATTCTAGAATTCGTAAATTACCTATTCTAATAAATTTTAGACAGGACAATTTCCGCCTTAATATTTTGTATTTTTTTTAAAAATATATTTATGATAAATTCATATTCCATAATTAAAATAGTAGTTTTAATTTTTCATAGGAGTAGCCAGAATTTTGATTAGTGGTGGAGGAGGGGGAGAGGGGCACTATTAGGTAGGTTTTCCCCATAAATTTTACTGCAGGTCATTAGGACTACTTATTGTAGGCCTTTGACTGTAATAGATCTTTATAAAAATAATTTTGAATTTTCACATTTTTTTTTAAACTAAAAATTTTGAATTATATGGTCTTTATTTAAAAGTTATTAAATTTGGCTAATTTTTCTTTCAAATTCTTATTTATAAAAAGATATGTTTTTCATAGACTAATTCTTATTATATATTGTATACCATTTTTGGGGGGAGATTAAAGTCATGTAATGTATTATTTTTTTTCAAACATATAGCAACCTTTGAAAAAAAATACTAATCAATATAGTTCATACCAAAATTGTTCCTAAAATAACAGTATTGGCACTCTTTACCTGCTGAAACTATTTCTAGTCAAATCAGATGTTTTTAAATGTAAAAATCGCCTCCAGTAAATGATTTGAAATAAAGAGAGGCCAAATCTCAATACAACATAAAATGATTAAAAATTAATTTTTATTCATTTTGTTAAATTAATTTTCAACCTCAATTCCTAGTGGATAAAAATAAAATCAGCATTTTCCTTAAAATCATTTTAAAAAATATATTATAATGGAATCTCACCAAACTATCCAATCCCAACGTTAGTAATGTCAGGAAAAAGATTATGGAGAAGAATACGCTTCCTTTTAATATAGCTAAAGCTTCGGGGTAAACTATGAACACCAATCCAGGTCCTAAATTGTGGCGGAAGAAAAAGAGGGGAATTATATTTTTCGTTAAAATATATATATAAAATACGTTTTTTAAAATCAAATCATCTTTGTAAAATTTGTATATGTGCTCCTAATTTCCTTTGCAGTATTATACAAAAATTAGTTAAAATAATAACTAAAGGCTCATTTTAAATCATTTTTTAAGCGCGTTTTTTAAAAATTATAAATCCGATTTTACCGGTAATATATTCCAGCATAGTGTTGTTAAACGGCTCGATTTGAGCCGATTTTTAAAAACGTCTAACTCGATATTTTAACCAGAAAAATGTTGTCTAAGCCTCGAGACTTCGCTATGTATAAACCTTTGTTCTATCTATGACCAAAATCTTCAGTCCTGCATCAAATCGAGCCGTTTAACAACACTATTCCAGCATGTTTAGAATATCTATCTTATGAATTGTACATAATTTTATCGTTAACCTTTGATTCGTTTATAATTTATACAAAAAAAATCTATGGAAAATTAATATAAATTTTATTAAGTTCAAAGGTTCATGGAAAAATTATCTGAAATTCGTAGGATAGGTATTCCAAAGATGATAGGATATATTTCCGGTAATATATTTAAAAAAAACGCGCTCAAGAAATGATTTAAAGTTATAAAAATAGCAGATTAACATATACTTAAACTTATTCAAAATAAGAATGTATAAAACTTATTATAAAAATGGTTATATACAAAATAACAATAAGAATATTTAATAATTTATGAAAATAAAATAAAATGTTATCATTGTTTGGTTATTTGGTACAATATATTTTATTTGAATGGCGTTTAATTGGCTTCTTTGGATTTATGAATATTGTTAACAGGTTATTTTAGAAATATTAAATCATTTTTGGTACATTCTCTTTAAATGATGATAAATCTCGTTATATTTGTTATCTTTAATAATTTTGTATATTTGACATGAATAATGTTTTAAAAGAGATAAAATTTTATGCAAATGAATGAATACAACAAAAAATACCTACTTTATAGATGTCTTACGCAAATAGGTAAAAAATAAATAAAAATCTTCCCACTTTTCGAAATAGAGTTGCCAAATTTATCAAGGCATTTTCTAATAGTAGTTAATAGGAATTTGATTGGGACTCAAAATTTTGGTCAAATTAGCGAGTTGTCCAAATTATTGAGATCCCAAATTAGACAGGTTTGACTGTATTTGTAAACTTTTTTTGCAAATTATATTATCTTATTTTCCTGGAGCTTTTAAACTTTAATACCATAACTTAATATTATATTGAATATCTTTTATTTATCAAAATCAATCTCTGATTTCAGCTCTCGCTTGTTTTATATTTTAAATACATTAATTAATATTTTTAGAACCATCTTATGTATATCACTTGCCATCTGCCAAACATGGTTATAAACTTACTCCTAACCTATAACTTGTGCATCTCCCTTATCATTAAATTAACTCTTCCCTACCAGAAATGCATACCAATATGTCATCTACAAACTTCAAAGATGAGTAGGCTATTAAATCATTCATTATGCTTTGCAAGCTGTGATACACGTTAGGTGTCTATGATGATCACTCACATTCATGAGAAAACTAGCGTTTTCAGGTATATTGTCATTACGGAGGCTTCCCAATATTATTTTATGGGTATTGTTATGGCATTAGAATACATTTAATGAAGGATGGGAAGTTTTTTAAAAAAAAAATGTATCAAGTTATAAATAATAAATGCCTTCAAAAAGTAATTTTAAAATTACAAAATACTCAAAGTTTAGAAAAAAAAAGATACAATTGCTAAATAAATGGACTTTGTAACTTGAATCAGGTTAATTCTCAGAACCTACTCTTAATATAAATTTAATTCAGAATCCCTTTTAAAATACAGGAAATCAAAAATGGGAACTTTTTTTAAAACAATCTTAGGAAACCTAACCCAAGAACTCTTTTTGAAACCCAGAATTGAAACTCTTTAGTTCCTCTAGAATTATAACTAACACTAAATAATTTTTTAAAGACTCTTTGCTTTTGTTTTAAATATCCGATCCAATATATTATATGCTTCCGTTCGTTAGTGTCAAGTGTCCTATTTATATTTTCGTACAATATACCATTTTGACCCAGCCACGCTCATCTTAGTAAAGATCCATCTTTCAAAGGCTAAAGCAGCCCAAGTTTATTTTTATTATTCACAATTTTTTAAAAATTATTAAATAATATTGAAAATAAAAAAGTGATTACCATCTTTAGCCACTCGATCTATCTCCAAACCCCTCTGCATGGACATGTAACCTAAAAACGCGAAAACGACGAATCCCGCGAAAAAGCTGGTTAAACTATTGACAGCCGATGTCACTATGACATCCCTTATTAATTTTTATTTATAAAATTTTAATTATAATATTTTATATTGATCAATCACAAATTTTGTCATTTAGGAGCTTTTCATTGGCTCATTTTAAAAAACAAATCACAAGATGATATATAACATTTTTTTCCCCGGCCGTCACATAGTGTTTTTTCTTTATAGAACAAAGACTTTTCTTTTAGCATTTTAAAACGGATGCCATATGCTTGCAAGGGTATACCATTGTGACCAATGACATAAAATTATACCTAGACTGACGATGCATTCATAATAATGCATTTGAAAGAGTCGTTGAATGAAAATCAGCTGGACCCGCCATTTTGGTAATCTATACTGTAATTATCTCAAGTTTAAAACTACTATTAAATTGATAACTAGCTTCCTTATTATCTCAATGATCAGGCAATTCTTTAATAAAGTTTGCTTCAAGACAGGAATAAATTAGTCTCTCGTTTAAAATTTTTAATAATGATATGGGTAACAAAAATGGCATCCCCAGCTGTTTTTCATTGAAGTGCACTTTTAATGAGTGCATCGTCAGTCTAGGTATTATTATATGTCGTTGGATGTGACTAAACAAAAAATCGATATACTTTGATGGCCAAAAAAAATATTTTAATTAGAAATTATCTCATATATTATATAGTGTTATATTTTTTCGTCTCCTAAAATTATTCCCATTTTTAAATAATGGCGTTATTTGTTTAATGATACCCTCGTTGTATTTATATATTCTTACGTTTGTATATTATTGTGAAATTTGTTGTAACTCGCGTAAGCAATATGCACCCCAAAACCTGGGCCAGTGGAATAAAATATTTGCACCGCCGCCTCATACCACACCTATATTTAAAATAAAAAATTTTTTTTAACTTCCTCCAAAAGTAAAATTATTTGAGAAAAAGAAATAAGAGTAATTAATAATCTAGAAAATGATCTCATCATAATCATATTCATTATGTAGAATAAATTTTTTGGCCAGTAAAAAAATATCCATGACAATAGTAATACAGTGAAAGTTTTGCAATTGATTTTGGAGAAAATTAATCTGGATGGATGTTCTTTCTCGGGGCTTCCGTTTCAATCCGAACAGTGACATTTGGCTAGCTGCCGTGAAACTCGAATCAGAAACCGGCCATTTTTGAATAAGACCAAAATAAAAATTAATGTCTTGAAATAATTATGTTGACCCTATGGCAATGGCAAGATTTATGCGTAGATCAATACAACGGAATGAAGGAGGGGGGAGGTTAAATTTATAATTTTTAAAAAAATCTTATCGGGGAGAATCTTTTAAATGACTGTCAATATATAGAGGTATACGTCAACAAGGTAAGGGTAAGAGAGATAACAAACTAGGAGGAGTCGCACTTTGGAAAGAATTGAGGAGAATTCTAAGAGTCCAGAGACTCAAGATAGCAATAAGTCAATTCTTTAATAAAAGTAGGCAACCATAAATTTTTTAAGTCAGACTCAGGGGATTGAGAATAAATGAATATAAAGGATTCTATCTGGATATATGATTTGAAATGAGATATCAATATATCTAAATTTTTATGTGAAGTTACGTTTTTTTGAAAAGACGCAAAATGGGATTATAAAATATTTTAATAAATGTAATTGAGTTTAAAAGAGCTAAAAATAATATAATATCTAAAGGAGAATTAGAATTTTTTACTATATTTTAATAAGATCCAATAAACCCCGTAAATGTTGTGGAGATTTTATATTATTTGTTTAAAGAATATTTTCACTAAAATAATTTTAATCAAGCTTTTTTTTCAAACAAATTACCAAAAAATAATATTAAAACTAACTTGAGCAGATTTTAGTTTGTGCATTTGAGGAGTTAAATAATAAATTATGCCATTTAACGAACCCGGTAACAATAATGCCTGGATGAGTAGAATGGTTAATAAGATGTATGGTGCAATCGCCGTAAACCATACAACCTATAATAAAGATAATAAATAATATAATATATTCATCGTATCAGAGTTGTTAAAGGATCTAGATACAAGTATCTACTGTATCTAGATATAAAAATGTGGTATCTGTATCTGTATCTAGATATTATTTTAGACGATGTATCTGTATTTAGATCCATTAAAAAGTATCTTTTAACAACTCTGCATCGTATAAAAATAATACTAAAACTAAATCATCTATTTAAAATTTTGAAATGATTACTTTTCCCGAAGTCTTAACGCCTCTAAACAGAGATAAAAACACTATGAGGTAAACGAGTAGAGCGCATAAACATACGTCCCATTTAATGGGAGTAAAATGTTGGAAACCGGATCCATCCTGTATGCCTAACACTTTTCGTCTAACGATTTTAAGGGGAGGTAGGGGGGTGAAAATTAAAATATTAATAAAATTTTGGGAAAAATTAATGCGATTATTAAAATACCCTAATATCTTCACTTAAGGGATTCTTTTGCGATTAATGCTTTAATAGATAAACTCCCCGGCTTCTACTAATAGCGAACAGGATCGGTAAAGTAAAATTCTCAGGATAGGGGGGAAGGGGGGAGGGGTTAGGAACTGGGATTTAGATTATTGAACCTTTTTTCCATAGGGAGTTAATTTTGGTCTTTTAAAAAATACATATAATTTAAATATTACCTATTAACAGCTGATCTATCTCAATTATATATTACATTTATTTAGGTAAATATTTATCTTCCTATTTTTTCTTCTTCTCGCAAATACGTTTATTAAAAATTTTGTCAAAATTATAATTATGAATATTAAAAAATATAAATATGTAATTAATCTTCTAGTTCATAGTCAATGTCGTACTTTATGCAAATATCATTATATTTATTTGAAATATATTTCAATTTCTCAACTATATGTTAATAAATGGATATAATTATGCTATCGCCTGTCATTTCGTAACGCGACACTTTCCTCATGAAGACACTATATCACGAGGACATTTTCCTAACGCGACATTTTATTAGGCGAGATTTCGTCGCATTTTTCAAAATCGATTATTTTTGTTTCCTCAAATTTGTTTATCTAAGTGGGGTAAAAAAAAAATTATGTGAGTTAGGGTAAATGCCCGCAAAAAATTATATACAAAACCTGTGGTTGGCCAATCGTTTAAGAATAATTTTAAATCGTATTTAATAATTTAATAAATTATTAAATATTCCTTATATACTGACTGATCAAATTTACAAATTTTCTACTATAAAATAATTTCCAAAAAATTTGTTTAAATCGAAATTTTTAAAATCCCAGGCAATGGCTATAAAAATGACAATTTTTTTAAGAGTGGAATATCTTAAAAAGGATTGAATTCTTTAATACCTGCTTTCATAACAATTAATTGGTGTAGCTTCCACAATCCGTCCTAGGTTATTTGTTCAGTAACATTACATTATAAGGAAGGGTTACCCTTTTTTCAAGTTTAATATTTCTTCAATGACATACAATAATAACTAGACTGACGATGCATTCGTTAAAAGTGTACATCAATGAAAACCGCTGGGGACGCCATTTTGATTACCCATATTATTATTCTGACGCAAACTTTATTATTGCCTGATCATTAATATAATAAGGAAGCAAGTTATCTATTTAATAGCAGTTTTTAGTATGAGAATTATTACTATATGGGTTACCAAAATGACGGGTCCAGCTGATTTGCATTCAAAGACTCTTTCAAGTGCATTATTATGAATGCATCGTCAATCCAGGTATTATTATATGTTATTGTATTTCTTATAAGAATTTCTACGTCCTCGAATATATATTTTATCAAAAGTGGAAAGCAGGAACCATTCATTCATCTTTAATATTGTCTTCAAGTTATCAAGCGTAATGACAACTAGAGGTTAGCGCGGGCCGCAAAATTACCCCCAGACACGAGGGGTTATGGCGTGAGTGAGAATATATTTTGAATTATTCCCCGTTACTTGGCGTGACGGGCATTCCCAAATGTTTTGTCGGGCAAGATTGATAACGAACATAAATTTTCCGCTAATCACGGAAATTTTTATTTTTTAAATAAATTTACAATTTTATAATTATAATAATATATATTTTTTAATTTAATTTAAACAAAGGAAAACTTCCGCATTTTATAAACAACATTTTTCTTTGTTTTCGTCCTCATAAAATTGCTAAATGAAAACTAATAAATCTCTCAACTCTCGTACAGTAGTAATGGAAATTTGGTAATAAATAAATTTAGTTTAAATATGTTTTATTTTCGTTTATCTTTACTAAATTATTTTATCAATATTGAAAATAGGCTCAGATAATGAGAAAATAAATGAAGTTTATATATGGAAAAAATAATTAGTAAAAATATTGTCAACCGTCTGAAGGTGATACAATAATAATCAAAAACCCTCCAAAAAAATACAGGAAAGCATTTCTTTTAAAGGAAAGATTTATTATGCAACCACTACACAAGGTAGGGCTTAATTTATGATCTGAATATCAAAAGTCTTATTAAATTTTCAATTGACGATGAAAAGGAAATTTGTTTTATTGCCACCGTGAGCGGGCGGGCCGTGAATAAAAAATTTGGATCGCGTCCACCTCTGATGATAACATCTTCGTCTGTAACGTATAAGAGTCAATAAAATAAGTAAATGTAAGTCATTAATAGATATATTTTCTATGAGGCCCAAATCGATAATCCTCCAATTAACACTTTGTTTTAGGTTAAAATAAACACCCAAGAATACTCCCGATGCAATTTGAAAAAATGTAAGAATATTTGAATCTAGATATTCCTTTTCAAGCAGTTCATCGGTGCTTAACATAATTATTATATTATATAATTTCAGCGCTGACCGATATTTTTAAAAAACATTTTCTAGATTATGTCTAGGTATGTTCAAAAAATAAAATAAAATAAAATACGGCTCGGCCTGTGTACCCAGGCCGGGCCTGCAGTTCTCTTGATTTTTTACCCTTTAAACTATTATTTTCTAATTTAAATAATCGACTTTGAAAATATGACTAAATGTCGCGCGGTAGAGTATCGCGTGATAAAGTATCGCGTTACGGGGTGACTCCAAATCATGCTATATCTATCTTGTATCAATTATTGATAATTTTGGGGTTCTTAGTGCGTTTTATAAGCTAGGAGTCAAAAATAATCATCAAGAAGGGGGCTTGTAGATTCTTTCAGGGGTATAAGTGGAAAAATTTCTAAGGGGGGGGGAGGTAGTGAGTGGTAAAATCGTCAGGTGTTTGGGTGCGGAAGGGAAGGGGGAGTTAGAAGTCCCCGGATAAAATGGTATTCTATATTTTACCAATTGATGTCCTCCAAGCTATTTAATATTTTTTTTGATACTATTTTAACATAGTAAGTTAAGCCGAGATGCCAAAGGCAATTATTTTTTTATGGAATCTTACAATTTCAATTAGGTAATAAATGCTATATTAAAGTTAGTTTTATTAACATCTGATATTTTTTTTTGTAACTCAAAATATTCTTCGCTAGCAGTCTTAAGACCGTGGATAGGTGCTATATGAGACGGTTTCAGGGACATGTTACGCGTTCTATGTTCTACGCATGCCGGAGTATTCCAAGAGTTATCGCACGTGATCCAGGGTAACTTCGATTTGAAAGAGGCGAACAAATAGTAAAACGCGTAGCCGCATATTACGGGGTAATAAAACGAAACGTAAAAGGTCATCAGTATGGCGGCGTATCCCGTTCCTTTACATGGTCAATTTAAATTTTATTTAAATTTGCAATTTTTTTTTATATTTTGAATATATTTATAATGATGATAAACTCCTTGTTATGTATATTTATAAATAATATTTAAAAGTATAAATTTATTTCAAACAATTAAATTATTTACGTAATTATATATTATATCATATATTTTTAAATATAAGAACATAAAATTAAAATATGTAAAAAAGGATTTTTTTAAAAAAAAAGTTAGGTTACAATCAGCTGGAGCCGCCATTTTGATAACCCTTATAGTAATTATTCTTAAATTGAATAACTTGCTTCCTTATTATCTCAATGATCAGGCGATTCTTTAATAAAGTTTGGGTCAGACATAGGAATCAATTGTCCTCTCGTTTAAAATTTTTTAATAATGATACGGGTAACCATGGCGTCCCCAGCTGTTTTTCATTTGATGTACACTTTTAATATGAATACATCCTCAATCTAGGATATTATTATATGACATTGCTATAATCTTAATTTAAATATAACAGTGTTTTGCAGATCTAATTTAAAACATTTCCATATATTTTTTTAAAATTTATTTGAAAATAAAATTATTTAACTTGTAAAAAAAATTGATAAGAATATATAAATAAATATGTTATTCTAGCAATTTTTTTTGCAAGTCAAATAATTTTATTTTCAAATAAATTTTTAAAAAAATATGGAAATATTTTAAATTAAATCTGCACAACACTGTTAGATGAAAATGTCAAAAACATCGTTGAATTTTATTTTTCGCTTTCTCTTTCATCGGAAAAAATTATTGTTTTTTTGATGATGGAGTTTTTTTTTGTTTTTTGTATAAAGGATGAAAAATATTGTGTTATTTTAAAAATAATTTTAAAAAATAGAAGGATAATTACTTATTTTAAATTCAATTTTTTTATTTTTATTTTTTTTCCAATTATTATATTAGCTTTTTTGAGCTTTATAAAAATTTCGAAATATGTATCTTTGATGTATTTCAAATCTATTTATCTTTCAAGGGATATATTTTTTTAAGAGATAGGAAGTAGTATAAATATTATGTTTAGCGGATACTTTGGCATGGGCCCTTAAATAAGACTATATCAAAAATTTTTCGTCTAACACTAAATTTAACTATACAGTAATCTATTTTTTCAAATCTGACTCAAAGTATAAATTTAATCGACGAAAACTTGGTTAGAATATATATATGGATAAATTAACCTTTTAAGAAAGGGACCATTTTCCATATTCCAACAGCTCCGGCCCTGTTGTATTGTCCTAGGGCTAACTCCATATATAATAGTGGGACACCTCCAAATATTAACATGATAGTGTACGGTATTAAGAACGCCCCTAATTATTTTTTAAAAAGAATAAATCTTTATGGGTGGTAACTATTGTGGCACCCTTTATTTGCCCCCATTATATAATTCGTAACCCCACGGTAACTTCTCCGTAACCTCTCACTTCCGGTTCGTATTCCATTTTGTTCGGTTAGCCCACTTTTAGCGACTCATTTCCTGTGATAGTAAATTACTATCAACAAAATATTTTTCATTTACAGAGGGATGGCTAAAAAAAAATTGACATAGTAATAAGATAATCTGACCTCCTCCATTTTTGTAACAGAGGTAGGGAAATCTCCAAATGTTGGAGAGATCGACGGCGAATCCTATAATTGACAGCAAGAAATCCGCTTTGCTACTCCATTCCTCTCTTTCTTCCTGCTGTTCTTCATCTTCGAAGCCGAACTTTTGTAAAGTATTCGCATTGCATAAGCTTTTGTATCTACGGTCAGGTAGTAGAATCAACTTATTTTGATGGTTTCTCCTGCCACTACCAAAGTTTTCCAGGGTATCCATCGAACATTTATCCCCGAGAGATTTCGCTCGCTTATTTTTTATAACGAACACGTGGTCGAAATTTTTATCGGAGATATCTGGGTACGGTTGTATCCTTTTGTGTTGTAAATCAGAACCCTTCAAATCATTTGGACTCTGGTTATTTGGGTGATGATTTCCCGCGGCATCCTTTGCCCCGCCATTGATGATCGTTTTATCCCAGGGGGAATCATCGATGCTATTATTGAGAGGTTGGGATTCTTGAATAGCGTGGTTTATCCCGTAACGTTTGTATAAATCGATCTTCCTCTCTGATTTGACTCCCGGGTTGATTTGATCATTCATTCAGAATCAACTGCAGTTTTATAAAAATATGAAGGGAAGAAAGAAAAAAAAAATTAAATTGTCATCTTAGCAAAACCAAACTATGAAATGAACGAATAAATTATTTAAATTGTAAAAATTATATTATTCCAGAATATTTTCTATATTAGTGCTGTTAAAAGACTCGAATTTTAAAAAACGGCCAATCCAATATTTAAGCTAAAAAAAGAAAAATTAGGCAAGCTTTGAGATTTCGTTAATAGATGTCTTAGCCTTAAATTTCCAGGCTTGCATAATATTTTTTGGCTAAAATATCGGGTTAGCCCCTTTTTTAAAAAATCGAGCCGTTTAACAACACTATTCTTTTATTAAGATTCCCTTTTCTCCCAAACTGCGCAAAACAAGAGAGAACGTAGTAGAAGTCATTCAATATTTTACCTTGTATCCATCTCATTCTTCCCTAAATAAATAAAATTACACCACTAACGAATAAATTTTTTGAATTTTTCTGGTGTAACTAAAAGCCCGTTTTTGGAAAAAGTAACTAGTTACAGTTACTAATTATATTTATTAAAAAAAGATAAGTTACTAGCTATATTATTTTAAAAATAATCAGTTAGAGTTAAATAACTAATTACTAGTTTGCATTTAGTTCACGTTTAACTATTCACATTGGAAATTTATCAAATAAAAATAATATACGAGATATATATCAGAGATCTGCAATTGCAGGTTGTCTACGACAAAGACCAGCCCGGGTATCGTCTCCCGGATTGGGCAAAATGTAATTTTGGTTTAGGTCTAGTATTTTAAAAAAATCGAACAGGGCAGGGCAACCTTATTTAAAAAAATTGAAACTGTGCAATGCCCAGGCCATTGTCGCTTGCAAATCTTTGATATCAATTAATATTTTTTAAGTAACAAGCTACTTTCCTAAGTTACATTCCAAAAAATGTAACTAGATACAGTTGGTTAGTAACTGGTTACTTTAATAACACTTAATTTTGCTTAATGAAACTGTGATGATTATAATATTATTGATATAAAATTAAATATTTATTTTACACTCGATCCTCTAGAAAAATTTATATCCTTTTGCGTCAGAATTATTGTCAACTTCTTTTTATTTAAATTATTAAGCTATAAAAATTAAAATTGTTTTTTATTTTGAAAAAATTTTAATATTTTTTTTAAAGATTCAATTTTCAAAAAAAAAAAAATTATGTTTTTGAAAGAAAAGTATAAAGAAAAATTTTTTTGCATTTATTATTATATTATATTTTTTAATTTTTTTCCTTTTAAATTTTTCTTCTTCTTTATATCTTTATCCACCTTATATGTAATTATTATAATTATATAATAAACATAATATATGTATTTTAAAATAAATTATCATTTTTCCAACAAAAATTTAAATTTTTTTACACTTTTATTTTAAGTTTTGGTTTACGGCATATTTAAAAAATTGTTAAAGGGTTATTGAATATATTTAAATTATTTTATAATATTCAAAATTATAAATGTAATAATATTTAAGGTGACAAAAAAAAATATCATTTACAAAATATGGTGTGTGATAAATAAAAAAATTGTCGGGGTGATTTCCCCTAAATTGAGTGTAGTTGTTGCGTCTTGAATGCTTGTTGAGGAAAGCGAACAACCTTTACGCCGATTGATAATATAGAAGGTAATCTTTGAAGTCGGTGACGTTAGTTTGAGTTCCAATGTTGAGAATCAGATTAGTATGACCAAATATGTGTTGGCGTAGCCAAGGGGATGGGAGGGGAAGGGATTGCCTCCCTTTGGAACTCATGACAAATATCTATAAGAAAGAATTTCTTTCTTTCTTTCTTTCTTTCTTTCTTTCTTTCTTTCTTTCTTTCTTCCTTTCTTCCTTTCTTCCTTTCTTTCTAAAAGGGGCCAATCTTTACAATTGTGAGTGCAATTGTTGCCCTTCTTCATATAATCAAGTTCAATAGAATATAATTGTTTAGTTTAAAATTTAAAAAAAATATATAAATAAAATATTTAAATTCTATGTTAATAATCTTTTTTTAAAGACGTTTTCAAGATTGCATATGAGAAAAATTCACATTTTCATACTCTATTCTTTGTAAAAAAAAAAGTAAAAATAAATAGTTATTTAGGCCGGGTCTTATATTTGTTTCTATTTCGTAATTAAATTAAGTTAAAGTAAACTTGAAACACCATTAAAATTTTTTTAAAAATATTAATTTTGAAATAAGGTGATGACATCCTTAAAATACGATTAAAGGTGTTTCAGCGTTGATTTATTACATATATAAATTTGTCTTAACATTTTATTATGGCTTATCTTTTAGGCAAGCAATTTCGTAAGCATTTTTAGTAAGTAAAAATGTAAATATATTTTTTAATTTTAAACCTGTCCCATTCTGCCCCGCCCCCCAGTATTTTTTGGGGGTTACGCCATTAGAATATTTATGACTTAATAAATATAATTTATCATGATGTATAGGTGTTCAGCTTTGATTCATTATGTATAAAAATTTGTCTTAACATTTTATTATGGCTCATTTTTTTAGCAAGTAATTTAGTAAGCATTTTTAGTAAGTAAGTTTGTCCCATTCTGCCCCGTCTCGAGTAATTTTTTTTGGGGGGGGGGGGGTCGTTACGCCATTAGAATATATGTATAATTTATTGATCTGATAAAATAAAATGGTGGGGGGGGGGGTATATGTGTATGGCGACCCTGTTTCATATTAACATGAGAGAGGGCTTTACAAGCGCGTTACATTCTTAATGGCGTTACCATAAAAAAAGTAACGACATCAAAATGCACCATTACACTTGATTTGGGTTACTTCTATAAGTACTAATTTTAAACCTGTTTTGAGTGAACTGTAAATTTAGTTTTGAAAATTATTTAAGAGAAGCCGAAACTATTGATATCATAAGTTATGTTAATACGTAATCACTCTCGTGAAAACCAATTGCTCTTGCTACACCGTTTTTATCAATTGTTGCTATACCAGTGACACCTTGCCCTATAGGCGATCGGCGAGAAATAGCCTTTAAAAATACCTCTCCCCCGATTTCAGTAATGCCTCCACATTTTAAAACTCACTTATTACCTATTTGATAGCACCCCCCCCCCCCTTTCTCCACACCTCAATAAGCCAATTTCATAAAAACATATCACTTATTGTTCTAAAGTATTATTATTTTAAATGCACTCGAAATAATATTTTAAAAAATTCTCTTTTCCAATTATAATAATGTTGAATTCTTCAAATCGACCCAAAAAATGTCAATTTTTCAATCCGACTTCCTAGAATATCTTTTTATTTGAAATTTTAAATGATTATATTTGAACTTCCGCGATATATCTCATATTAAAAACCTCTACTAAAAACATCCCATATGCAAATTTTTTTTTAAATTTTCTTAAACACTTTCCTTATTCGAATTAATTCGCGCACATCCGAAATTTATTCTTTTCATTTAATAAATTATGAAGATCTGAGCCATAAAACGGTATATTTTTAAACCGGACCAATCTGACCCAGTTCATTCTGGACTGAAAGTAAAAAAAGAAAGAAGTATATCGTGTCCTAGCAATTTATCGTTTAACTAGTCGAAAACTGGCATAATGAAATTTAAACATTTATTTGCTTCTCATTCCCCTTTTATAAACCATTATTTAGAAATCCGCCGGAAGGACAAATAATCGAAAAAATCTTTAAACCCAAGCCTGTAAATGGATACTCTGCAAGTCTTCTCTTATCCATTATTATTATTATGATGTTTATTAATTTGATAAAATTTCCACATATATATAATATGGTTACCTCATGGTTTTATAAAATGTTTCAACAATGATTATCTATTCTTACTTATATAGAAATCTAAATATTTTCAAATGTTTATATTAAATAACATAATATATAATTATATATATATATATATATATCAAAATTTTGGGATGAACATCATATTGAAAGTGAACTTATTTTATTTATTTTTTCAATATGAAATGAGAAAACTATTTTTGATTTGAAAATATATATTAATAAGCCAAAAGGATAATCTAATATTCCTTATGTAAGAATTGATAAAGAATTGAACAAAATTGGATTATTTAAATTTTGTATATGAATAATGATTTGAGATAAACGAATATTATATAATAAAATAAATTTGCATATAGATATATTTTACTAATATATATATATTACTCGTTATGAAATCTTAATAGAGATATTGCCAAAAAAGTAAATTTTTATATGTCATTTAAACTCATTTTATAAACAAGTCAATCACCATGCTCAACATTAAACCTTAATATTTTTCATTCGTTCTTGAGTGAGATATAATGTTCAAGGATTATTTCAATTAAGCTCTTATACAATGGTAACATAATGTTGCTTAGTATTATTAACAAGCCCGATTTTAAAAAAAACGGTCCTATTAAGATAATAACCAAAATAACATTATGCAAGCCTAAAGATTTTTCTCATAGCTGGCAGAAATGCTTTGTACATCTATTTGTCGAACCTCGATGATTACATAATATTATTTCAGCTAAAATCTTAACCAGGCTTTTTAACAAACACTAATACTATTCAAATGTTTAGAGGGGCAAAATAGTCAAAAAAAAAGGAAAAATTAATTATAATTGAGAAAAAAGAGGTATAAATGAAAGTTAAAGGAAAGGATACAATTGAGAAAACTAATAAAATAAAATTAAAATTATATTAAAAACAATGACATATGATAAAACCTAGACTGACGATGCATTCATAAAGCGTCTTTGGAAGCAAATCAGCTGGACCCCATAATATAGTAATTATTCTCATGTTAAAAACTACTATTAAATTGATAACTTGCTTCCTTATTATCTCGATGATCAGGCAATTCTTTAATAAAGTTTGCGTCAGACATTGGAATAAATTGGCCTCTAGTTTAAATATTTTTAATAATGATGGGTTACCAAAATAACGTCCCCAGCTGTTTTTCATTGATGTAAACTTTTTAATGAATGCAATGGTCAGTCTAGGTATTATTATATGTCATTGATTAAACTCATTCATTTGATTAGGTTCTAACAAAGTGCCGTATGAAATAGCGAAATGTATCTTTTAAGAAGATTTAAAAAAAAATCACTTTTAGATAAGAGTAAGATACCTAAAAATAGGATTTCTAATTATAATATTATTCTTTCTTATTTTTTGGAAATAAATTGTAGAAAATTATTTTTTAGGGTTGTATTCAACATCTCTTTATTATCTTCTCCAAGCGTTTATATGTTATAAAAATGAAGGAATAGGGAACTTTATCTTCTGGGGAAGGGGGGGGGGGGTGTATTCTTCCACCAAATCATAAGTAAATAATCTAATTCTAATACTAAGACCCGCGACTTTGAATTAAAAGATTCCCCCCCCCCATATCTGATTTTGTTTTTGGTTTTTCAAATACTCGGGTTTTTTTTTTTAAAAAAAATCGACATTTTGTCGAATATTTTTACGGCTGTTTTTTTTAAAAATTATTTCAAAATAGAAAAAAATATGAACAGCAAATTGAAATGCTAAATAAATCTAATCGTTATTTCTTTTTTCAACTAATTAATTAATATTTTTTCGAAATGCTTGATCCGACCCAGATTCTAAGATAAATCCTAATTTGAAACTAATTTTCAAACCTGGCCTGACCCGGATAGTTCCGGTTTTACTTTGCCGATAGCTTCGCCGGGTTTTAATTTATTTATATATACTTTTTTCTACAAAATAGGATAAAATTAATTTACCTTTTCCTTATTATTATAACTTAAAGTTATGTATGCAACAAGATTTTTCCAGATGATATTTCCAATAAAAGAATGATTTTCCCACAAAAAATAAAAATAGTTTTTCGCATATAAAAACCTTAAGATAAATTCGATCTTTCAAAGATTAATGTTCCAATAAATATTAAACAAAATAAAAATTAAGATAATATATATATAATTCTTGGAGGCGCGAAAATATTAATTTTTTTGATTTTATTATATATTTTTTTTAAAAATCTTACAAAAAAAAATTTATTTTTTTGAAATTCATCTTTTTTTTGTTTATTCAAAGGTATATTATCATATGTTGTCATAAATATACTTATATAAATGCAAAGGAAGCGCGCGACATTTAAAAAAAATAATTTAATATTTAAAATTAAATAGATTTTATTTTACTCAATTAGGTTAAACTTTTATTATTAATATAAAAAAAGAGAAATTAAATATATTTTATATTTTATTTATTATTATTACATTTATGCATTTATAAAAGCCTATAAAGGTTTTATGTGACAAGAATTAGTGTTTATTTTTGGTTTTTGGTGGAATAAGCTTAGAGTTTATAAACTTATTACTAAATAAAATTTCGCCTTCTATTTGTTAATATATAGGGAGAAATATATATAAAAAAATTTTTTTAACCAGTACAACACTATAAAAAATAAAATAAAAAATATCTTATAATATTTCCTGTTTAGGTTTATAAGAATAAGAAATATATAGGTATATATTAAATATTATATTAAATATTTATGCATAAAGTTTTAATTATTATATACTTTTTATTGTTTATAATATATAATAAATCGTAACTTTTATTAATAATTTTTTTTTAAGAGGAAAAAAAATCAATTAACTCTCGAGGTAAATAGACTCCTCATGAGAGCAGATGGGTAACCGACACTCCTATAGAGCCCTAGCTGGAAAAGAGAAAATTTTTTACTCATGCAGGTGCCATTATAGGCAGCAACCATAAGAAATCGTTTTTGATTTTAAAAAATTTTTGCTATATATATATTATATATATAATTAAGACACTTACATTAGTCGGTATTAGAGCATTCTTGTCTAATCAAAAATACCTTCTCAAGTATGCATCATCTCATTTTACCAATTTAATTTTTGAGGCCTTTTAAGTCTTTTTAACCTTTAACAGGTCAATGGCAAGTCTCTGATAAGTTAGATACCTCGCTTCAAGATTATTACATGTATCAAACGCATATATGGCTACATAAAGGTCTGCAAAATAATTTTTTCGCAGTCTAAGCCCAAACCGAGACCGAATTTAATTTAAAAAAAATTCCGAACCCGACCCGAGTCCGAGTACACATTTTTTTAGTCCAACCCGATCCGAGCACGAAATTTTACAATTTGAGGTTGAATATTATAATAACCTTAAAAAAAAATTATGTATAAATATACTAACCTCTTGTTATAGAATTATAAACATATATATTTGCGAAAATTGCCACTTAAATAATTAATTTTTTCATTTTTTATCATATATAAATGAAACCTTTTCCCGGGCCTCAGATTTGCCATTGGCATTTTCTCTTACTTTCATTGCTCTTAATCTTTTCGCCAATTTTTTTTTTAATTTGGCATTCACTGAAATAATTTTTAATAAGAAAATTAAGGCTATTTATCTAAATAGATGTTAGTAAAATATATTTTATTTAACTTGATAGAATATAATGAAAGTAAAGTATGTAATAATATCGTTAATGCAATGCAATGTACTATAATATAATCACATAAAATAGTTTGATATATGGTTGTTTGTAAATTATAAAATACTGAAATAAAAAATGATATGGCTTTATAATTGACATTATTAATTATGATAATTATTTAGGATATATATATTATTACTTTTCGGGTCGGGGGTTGAGTTTCGGGTGGGACAGATCTTACAACCCCACCTTAGCCGACCCGAAAAATATCTTTTATAATGTGGGCTCGGGTTGGGTTACAGAAAACCCGTGCAGTTCTCTTTGGCTATATAACACCATTGTTATCTTATAAAAATTGCTTAATTTAAGCATGCAAACTACAAATTCCCTTCGCATCTTTGCTGGTATGTCAAACGATTCTCCTAGTAATCATGAATTCCATGCGGACACAGCTAGATCCCGTTTCTTTAAACTGCCCAAAAAAGTCTTCATAGTTATTGCAGACTTTTACAATAGCACCAACTGAATTCCCAATTCGGGATATATTCGGGAGATATTTTATCTCCAGAACCTTTCGATTTTTTTGTTGGATTGCCTATTATAAAGTATATAAATCCTGTCAATAAATGCCTAAAGATTAACGCCCTTAAACACTTTTCATAGATTCTAACCTCTAATTCTAGAACGGGGCTTTATGACTTAGGAATATCAGTGAAGAATTAATTTCAATTATTTATTTTTTGCAAAATATATTTATACTCGGAAACTTAACGAAAAAACGAGTAAGTGAGATTTCGGCTAAATTTCGTTTAAAATAAATTAAGATAGGATATAATAAGAGGAAATTAAACATATTATACATAAATAACCTAGGTTGCTTTATTTAGCAAATAATTTAGATTTTTATTTTTCGATTATGACTATTTAAACCATAAATGAAAATAAAATATGCTTATAATAATCAAATGAAAACTTAGAAAGTGAAACATTTAATAATATAATATATTAAAATATCTAGTATATAAAAAAAGTGAATACAATTCTGTTTATAGTGAATGGTGGTATACATTTTTATTTTATCCTAGATATTGGGTTCCAATAATATATATTAAAACCTGCTATATCTTTTAAAAAGAGATCTCTATGGAGATGAAGATAGTCAGAATGTGAGGATTACAGGGTTTGAATAAATCTCTATATTATTTTGATTTTTAAAATTCAATTTTCTATTTTATGCCTTAAATTATAGGAGGACCTTTTAACACGTCATAATATAAATGTGCTATAATTTAAATAATTTAATATATATTAAATTTAAACTTTGTTAAATAGCTATTTTTCATGCTTCGTATAGTTTTTTGGTTCTATTTTAAATTAAATCATTTAAATCTAATTTAAATCAGAAAAAAAGTATAATATAAAAGATAATTATTTCTTTTTTTTATGGTCAGTTGAATAATCTATTAAAAGATATTTTAAACGAGTTATTTTATATTATTTTTAAAATTTTTAAATATAATTATTATAATTTGCGCTGAAGTTACTTAACATTAATCTTGTCGTTTTATTTTTTGAAAATCAAATTAAGAATAAATAATTTTGTTTTATACTTTCAAAATTTAATATTGAAAAAAAGTTGTTGTTCGAAAAAAAAAATCCAAACATGGAACCGGACCTATAACTTTAACAAATTTAGGAAGAGAAAACTGAACCTAGACTTGGACCGAACAAATATAGCGACCGAAACCTCAATCTAGAACCTCGATTTTTGGCTCGTTCATCTTTTAGCATTATATTCTCGAAACGATAATAATGCATGAACCTTCTAGCATATTCTTAGCCTAAGATATTAGGCTTTGAGATAAATAATTTTCCTTGTATTCAGCCGATTATACTATATCAGAATCCATTTTTTTTTAAAAAAATCTCAGGAAACCGATAACAAATTCATTTATTTTTTAAATGTTATTTACAAAGAAAAAAACATTTTTATAAAGAAAAAAATCTCCCTTAGCAAAACCCTGGCTACTCCAATGGGTATTGCGATGTATAGCTTACGAAAGTTATAAAATTAATATTTCCAAACAAAAGATTGATAAATACTGGAAAGTAAATAACTTGTCCTGATTGTGTTTTATATTTCAGTTTGTCAGGAATAATCTAATGCTTCAAAGTTGAAATGACTCGACCAATATTTAAGACTTTTCAAAGTTTTTATTATATTTGAATAAGTAATAAATGATGGTTATTTTAATTTTTTTTAGAAGCGGCAAATACTTTACAAAAGGGCATGTTATGTTACTAATTATTTTTTAATCAAATAGTTCAAATAAAAACTAATTATCAAAGGTATAGAAGTAGTAAAACGCATCGGCCATTTCTGGGATTAGATAGTAAAGCTCTGCAAGTTACTTTCAGGTTTAAACGAAAAATAGGATTAAAATGAGTTAATATATTGGTATACCGAGGGATTATTTCCAGCCATACGACTTTTGCAATGATTTGAAAAATTATCATTTATAGATAATATTAATATTTTCTTTCCCGAACATTATTTGATGTGGTTGTTAATGTTTCTTAAAACTTGTAATATGTTTGGATAAAAATTAAATCGTGCGTTTACTAGGAGCCAAATTATATGGTGGCAGTTCAACCAATCCGATCAAGACATACAAATATTTAATAGTCGTTAAATATCTATCAAAATACAATATCAAATACGTCTACGATGAATACTTCAGCGATTTCGTGCTGCAAATACACAAGAAAAGATCCAGAGCTCATTTTTATTACGATGACTTAGAAGACAGGCTGATGGCTCATCGATATATCCATGGTGCGGAATATATAGATTAGACGGCGTGGTATTTGCGATAAACACGAAACGATATCAGAGAAGATCGTGGAATACTCATATATTTTTTATTATAAAACATATAATAAATTGATAAAATCATAAATTATTTAAATAAATGAAAAAAATTGATAAAAATGAAACCATTGGTATAAATTAAAAATATTAATAGAATACCCTACATTTTCAAGCAATGTTAAGATGTTTATAAGATTATTTGAGGCCATATTTAGGGACTCAAAACTAACTGATATTGAAAAGGCAAACACTTTTATTACGAAGTTGCCCCTAATGACGAATACATAAAGCTGGAGGGTGTGTGCTCATCGACGGACTTCATCAATCCAAAGATTTGATTGAACGATTGAGATTACTTCACCTGGAAAGGTCACATGCTTCATATTTAACTAAATTTAATGGGGCCGTTTAAGATAAAAATGAAATGTATAACAATTGGGTAAGCCGTATGTTAAATAATAAATGTAAGTTCGTATAGTAGAGTAATAGAAGAGGTAAAAAAAAATATCATCTATA